GATATGACGGCTGGAAGGAAGGCCAGGATTGAAAAGAAGGACCGAGAGACTTATACCTGTGTCTAGCAACAGGCTGTTTTCTTTTTCCTCCATAGTCATGATTACCTGGGGTTCCTCCATGGAGATGACAGTCTGGCCAGAGGGAGAAGGCAGAGTATGCCCCGGGCCCCCTCATTCCTGTTGGATTAACTGGTAGGATGGGTCTGAGCTCTGGGGCCTCCACCTCAGAGGGCAGACCAATCTCCGGTGGTCACCTTGCATTCAGGGCATGGCCCAGGAGGCTTCTTAAGGCAGTTCCTCTTGAGATGGCCTGGCTTTTAACAGTGGTAGCCAATGAAGGTAGTCGTCGAATTCTTCTTAGGGCCCCGAGAATCAGACTTAGGGTCTGTTTCTCTTAGTGCTGCAGCAAAAGCAGCTGCTTTTTCTCAGTCATACTTTTCTAACTTTTATCTCAGCAGGTTTAGGGTAACATGTTGACAATTTATCAGTTTCTTTATTTCAAATTAATTCAGTGTTATTGTAACTACTGATTCCCAAAAGAACTGAAGTAGAGACTTACATATTATTCTATAGTATCATAGATTTTAGAATTGAAAGGGACCTTTGAGATAATTATAGTGACTGACTTCCAAATATTTCATATATAGATGGATATAGATATAGATATAATTTATTTTTACTTTCCATTGTCAACAGAAAAGTGATAGAGCTAGCTACCTTGTATGCAAATATGGCCTGCTGCCTAGTTTTGTAAGGTTTTTTGGAATTAAAATTTACATGATTGAAAAATAGTAAAAAAGAAAAATTAAATATTTGTAATGTGAATATTACAAAATTTCAAATTCCAATGCCTAAATAAAAGTATTACTGGAGCACAAGTATGCATATTTGTATATACATTGTCTGGTTGCTTTTAGCAAAGGCAGAATTGAATACTTGTAACAGAGATTATTTGGCCCACAATGGCTAAAGTATTTGTTATTTTGCTCATTACAGAAAAAGCTTGTCCACCGATGATTTAAAGAATTAACTACAGAGTGAAGGACAGCTCTTGCTTAGTCCACTAATTATGCAAATCCCTTTCCCATTATCAGTGATGGTTCAAAAGGCAGGGCTAAGCAGTTGAATTTAGGGTTTTTCCTGGCTAAGGAAAAAAGAATTTTTGTTTTTTTACAAAAATGTAACATTCTAGACTAAAAGAAAGAGAAATAAGAAGTAATCTAATTTCCTCCTGGATATTAACAAGGACATATATCTCCTTTTGGCTGATATCCTTCAGGAAAAGTCAGTTTGAGGTTAAAGCTTGCACAGAGAAGAGGAGGGAGCAGACAGAATCACAGAGAAATGAAAACAGAGCCAGCCAACTCTAGTCTTTCTGTTGTGTAAGCCAATAAAATAAATCACTTTAATTAGCTTGATTTATATTTTTAGTTGATAATCCCAACTTTATTTGATATTCTATTAAAAAGTACGAATGTACTAAGATCACTACAAATTTCATACAGGAATCCATAATTTAGTAAATGGATTTCATATAAATATTTTACATAAATATTTTATATAAATAAAATTATGAACTTGGAAATATTTACTGCAGGTAAAATCCAATCCATGTATCACGTGCCTGTGTCTTAGTTATTTTTGTCATTGCAGAAACAAAACACCTGATACTCAAGGTTAAAGGAGGAAAAGTTTATTTAGCTCACAATTTGTAGAAGTTTCAGTCCATAATTGGGTGGGTCAACGTAGGGTAACATGTGGCAGATGGGCAACAGCTCAGGGCACAGGAGACTACCAAAAGCAGCAAAAGAGAGAGAAAGACAAACCTCTTTCTTTCTCTCATATTGTATGCAGGCTACCTGCCCTAGGATGGCTGTAGCACTCACCTTAATCCCAGCACTGGACCATGAATCAATCACAAACTTTAGATTCAGCCACCTGAGAAATGTGCACCCTCCATGACTGCATGAGGTTTTAGGGGGACTTCTAGACACAAACCATAACACCTTATGTTATTCCTCCTAGTAAAATGAGATAGGTATTATGTCTACTTTACAAGTAAGACCACTGAGATTACTTAAATTTGTGTGATCACATAGAATAGGGTAGAGTAAGTGACCCATGCCTTTCTCTCTAACCTGTTCCCCTTATATACTGAGACAAAGCACAATGTGTAAGGGAAAATTCTGCTAATTGTAAAACTTTCAGGGTACTCAAAATGGCTGTGGAAAGACAGTTCAATGTGATGTGCTTTCTATAACATGTGCTTCAAAAAACAATTAGATAATATTTGAAAATCTTAAAGAAAACTAGTTACACTGAAGTTTATTGAGGTGATATTTATATTTCCAAGAAACTTAAAATGCTTTTACCTATTCATTTTATTTGCATTTCTGATGCCATGTATGGTAAATATGAACTTGCATAGTTATAGCCTTCTGAAATCTTACCTTCTATTCCATATTTTGCAATTATAGATTTTTAAAATCTAAAAACAGTTCCAAGTAATATTTTGACAAAGGGATTACTTTATATAAGTGTGAGAGAGAATTGTTTATTTTCCAAATGCAGGCAACTAGGTAGTTAGTCTTCTTTCACTGGATTTTCACTCATGGACATTTGCTCATTTAAAGGAAAAACAAGGAAATTATTTTCTACTAGAAAAATGGGAGAAAATCATATAGAAATGACTATAAAACCACTTTTTAGGTTCACAATAGACATCATTCTTATAGTACTCCTATAAATTTATTCCCATCAATTTCTTTTCTGAAAACAACTATGTCCATTTGAAAAGCTAAACCAGAAGAATTATATATTTAAACTTCATTGGTTTGTAGTGAAGATTTGTATGTGTTTCTTGTGCAAATTTTCTATGAAGGCAAATAAAGTTCTGTTAGTTATAATATTTAGAGATTTTCAAACATATTATTCCTATTTAAGATGAATAATATTATTCAGGGCCTGCATTTTTGGAGTCATTGTTTAACTGTTGGTATGTTTGTTTGTTTTTGTTTTTTTCAAGTACCAGGAATCGAACTCACAACTTCGTGCTTGCCAGGCACGCGCTGTGCCACTGAGCTACATCCCCAGCCCCTTACTGTTGGTATGTTTATGACAGGAAATTATGTTTGTATTCTTTTGCCTTCCCTCTTCAGATATGGTCCTTGACCAACAAGTGAGCTCAGGTCAGCTAAATGAAGATGTTCGTCACAGGGTCCATGAGGCACTGATGAAACAGCATCACCATCAGAATCAGAAGAAACTTACCAACCGGATTCCCATTGTTCGATCATTTGCTGACATTGGCAAGAAACAATCAGAACCAAATTCGATGGATAAAAATGGTAAGTGTTTTTTTATTGTGTTCTTTATATTTATTATACGTCTCTGAAATATCAAAGTACTTGTAAATCTTTAGCACATATTTAATTTGAAAAAGTTTTATGAAATTTATATTGTAGAATTGTTTCTTTTCCTGTGTATATGCTATACATGTAGTCTGATTTTCAAGCATCGAATTGTAAGAATTTCAATAAAGATTTTAGGTTTCTTGAGAGGTTCATGAAAGAACGCAAAGAAAACAAATCTAATAAGACCTTAGAGGTTCAAATGCAGCAAACATAAGTAAAGCATGTATTGCATCTGGAACAAGGTCCTAGCTTGAGAAAGTAATGTGGTTCTTCAAATTATGCTGTCAGTGGTCCTTTAGTTAAAACATCTGGTATTTTGTGGGAGAAGACACTGGTTTCCTGTTGCTCATAGCCAGAAAATCCCATGAGAGATAATGATTGAAAAGACCCACTGGTACCTTGAATGTGGCTGTACATAACGTGAAGCCTGATTCCAGTGCATGAGCTCATTCTTGTTTGCAGTGCAGCATCTTCCGTGTCCAAGCCTCTTCACTCGCCACCTTCACATGCCTACATAGATGAGCACTATTGTCCAGCCACCAAGGCAGACGGTTTTATTCTTCCTATAGCCTTTGTTTTCTTTTTCATCAATTTAACCTTTCATTATTTACACAAGGAAGTTGTTTAGTAACTGTTATCCATATTTTCTCTTAGTCTCATAAAGGAAAATGTAATTACTATGAAAATAACATGAATTTGTTAATCTTCTCTCAGCTATACAAGTTTGCATTTCTAAAAGATAAAAATTAATGTCTTTTCAAATATTTTGCTAAAAGGACTGATATTCACCAATGGTCTAAAGCACATGTATTAAAAGCATGGACTATCTTCTGTCATTTTGTTTGTCTTTCAAAAATGCCTAAATACAAATGTGTGAGAATGAGTTTTCTCTAGAACTTGCTTCATATGACAATTTTCACTGGTTTTCAGACTACTGAATCATACATATATGTATACATATTCAAATATGAAAAAGGTACTTTATAGTTTAGATGCAGTTTTTTTTTCAGAATAAGGACCAGTCTCAAATGGCAAAATTATATATATAAATTGGTACCAGAAATCAAACTCATGACCTCAGGCTTGCCAGGCAAACACTTAAGCCAATGAGCTATACCAACGGCCCTGGCCAAATTATATTTTAAGTATTTATTTTTTAAGACCCTTCAGTAACTCATGTAATTTATTGTTGTTAGATAAAGGAATCTCTGATTGTACATACATAAAATTCACTAAACTGTTAGGGTCTTGTGTTATACATCTATGGATAAAAATGGTAAGTGTTTTTATCCATATCTTGTGTTGTATATCAAAATATACTGAAGATTTGCAGATTCCACTGAATATCCTGATAATGTAAAACTTTTGAATCAAATAATATATTTGAATTAAATAATATATTTGAAATATACTTAATATATTTAAAATATATCTGAAATATTCTAAGTTTAATTTAAAGTATGTGATTCACAATAATTAGAAAATGAGACATAATTTGAAAGATGTAAACTTTAGTGGTTTATATTTTGCAATGCTAGTATTCATTTGAGTTGAGAATGTTAAAAAAACCTGCCATATTTACTAATTTTGACTGTGGACTTGTTCTCCATGATTCTGAAAATCTTAACAAAATATGCTGTAGCACATTTTGGAGAAATAAGCTTTTACCTTTATTTTATCACTTTTACTAGAAATTATATATATATATATATATATATACACACACACACACACACATATATATTTCTATAAGGGAGACATAGTTTTTCTTCAAAGAGGCAATAATTTTTTATTTTGAATTAGCTATAATCTACATTTCAAACTTTGTTGGGTATAATACTATACAAAACTTTCATTGCGTTTTTCTTTTCTTGAGGAAGGAGTGTATGAAATTTACTGGATCAACTCTTTGTTGTAATATCATGCAGATCTAGATTTACTGTTACTACTTTGAACTTCTGTTAAACCTGGAAGAGATGATAGAATTATAGTGGTGAATCACAAGTCTACATATAGATACATACAGATACAAGGTTTTCTGAGAGCTTGCTTTTTGTCTTATTCAGGAAATAGTTTAGTTTTCCAAAAACTGGGATCTGAGTGATTCTGTTACCATCTGTACAATCAGCCTTTATCTGAACACATACAAATCTTTTCAGGGCATACGTTAGGGTAATAAAAACTTGGAAACACATATAATAAGATTCATATATCCAATTAAGTATTGTTGTAGAGTATGCTGTCAGAATTGGTTTTCTAAGCCTAGGATTATAACACCTCTTTATGACTCTGTTTGCTTCCTCACACACTTTACATAATTATGTGTGCTGAGAATTCTGAAAATAAGTATAGACTTCACCGATTTAGAAATAAATCTCCTACCCAACAGTGTAAAAAAGTGTGAAAGACCTTTACTATTAAGGTTCTCAATCTACTTATGAACTTTAAAAACTGCCAAACTCTAGATAAACAAACAAATTGAAATTCACAGCCATAAGTACAGATTTGACATTCTGTTTCAAAACATGTAATAGAGATTTAAATTTTTTGGTGCAGTAATACAGAGAGATTCGAAGGGATTTTTAAACATCCAAGAGAGTAAAAATAATACTCTTATTTTAAAAAAAACTCTTAGTAAAACATTTCATGTGAAAAAAAATTGACTTTCTTTAAGATTATAGAATAGGAATTAAAGTGAGGATTTTCTAGAAACTCAACAACAACATATATTTTCTTTCCAAAGCACAGAGGTAGATTCAAGTTCTCTCCTCTTGGTTAATGTGCTTTTGCTTTAGGGGTAAAGCAATTGAAATACCCTCAAAAATGAGGTGCTGCTTACATAAAGAAGTCTAAAAGAGTCATTTGGAATTAGATTTTTAATTTCTTTAACTGAATTGTTTTCTGAGCATGCTATCTTGGTACAATTCCCAAGGGTTAAACATTCAGATACTGTACAAGTATTTCTAATATGAATCTTTCTTGTTTTATAAATTATGTTAACAAGTTAATAGATTTCCTTGTTTCTCTGTTCTCCAAGACCACATTTTTTCATACTTTTTAAGTAATTTGTGATAAGTTGTTAATTTTATCTCTAAGTACACTAGCATACTTTTAGATTAAGTTTTTCTTGATATTCTGGATATTTTATTCAGGACTTAGATGTAGAATACTATGGATTCACCAAGCATTTTTAATGTCACCATGCTGTGTTTAACTTTCACTTTTCATTAAGCATCAAAACTGTGAGAATTAAATTCCTGATTCTGATGTTTCAAAAGAAAGTGACAGTTATATTTGGCAAAAGAATCACAAAAATAATAGAAAAATAATATCTACTTTGACATTAGAACCCTGTAAAGGGTAAGGATGGCAAGTAATCAATATAAATATATTAAGAATATTCAAATAGTTCCTTGAAACTAGAAAGATTTTCTAAAAATAAAAAATGACTTGTGTTATGTGATCTAGAAAATAAAATAAATTTGTATTTATTATTTAGGTTATGCAATCACATACTGAGACATCTGGATTACCAATCTATTATACAATGTTATTACTCTGTGAAAACTTTCATATTTTTGAAAATAATTTGGGACTCTTAATTTTCTTAGGTATAGGGAACTTTCATTCCATTCTTTCATTTACTAATAATTTCTAACTATTCCTTTTCCTTTACATACCTATTCTTCCTCCTATTTGGAATACTTCCCACTTACACCTTGCATTTATAATCTCAAGAGTTACAGAGCAGAAATTCTTTATTCTACTAAGCCACTGATTACTGGAGAACATTTAGATTTGGAAGAATGGGATATGTATTGGTATTTTAGACCTTGTAAAGTTCATCTCTTAAAACAATGTACACCTATGAACTGTGAATGATGTTTATTTATGCTTTTGGAAATACAGTTAATTGCCTCATAGTCATTTCTTTTATAAATGCTCTGTTTTTATTCCCAGATGCATAATGTCTTTAATGTTTAGATATTTGTACATTTTCTTGTGTATTTATCCTTAACAATTTTCTACTATCAAATAAAAAGATAAAGCTAGAAAATAATTCTATTATGGCTTGAGAGAAAGTATTCACGTAGAAGTAAACATTAAATAAAGGTGATTATTTTCCATTGTTCCAAGAAAATCAAGATGACATAGTAGGCACAAATGATGAATCTGTTCAGAGGATGTATTATTGTTGCTGAGCTTTGGAATGTCAAGACTACATCGTCACAACCAGCATATTTCTAAGATGATGTGTTTGAATTTGTTGTTTCTTATATTGCATTAATTATTTTCAGGCATACTAATTTTGTCCAAGTTTAATTATGTGCATATTTTTCATGTTTTGAAGTGTAGCTCACCTAATCAGCATTTTCTAAGTATTTACCCTTTCTTTCTTCATGTTTTCTATTCCCATGAATAAATGTATTGTTACACATGTATGTAACTTTGTCATTCATCTTTATATTTCTTTATTTTGCTCTGTCTTGTGTCTGTCTCTAACAGGCTCATCTCATCTCTGTACCTCCCTCATCTCCTACCCTTTGGGTACTCTAAATGCGTTGAAGGTTTCGAGGTAGTGTAAACCAGCTTGGTCTCTAGGTTAAAAGTAATGTGCTTCCATGTCTTCATCCCAGTTTCCTTCTTGTACACGTGATTTACAGTGGATTAAGCAATAGCAAATGATGATATGCTTAAGTGATTCTACTGATTTGAATTTGGCAAAATAGAAATTCAAAAGCTGCTGTTTTACAATACTTACAGTTTACTTGAAAAGAGAAGTATACGTAAAGACTTACATGAATTAATATAATAAAAATTCATGGTATTTCTTGAGAAAATATTCATAGTATGTTTATATGTTGAGATATTTTAATGATACTGATATGACTTAAAGTCATAAAATAGTACTTTGTTATGATCTCATATTTCTCCCCCACAACTTTATCATGAAAGAAATATCTATGCCAGTCCAGCTTAGTGAAAAAGTTATGGTGTGACAAGCAGAAGCAGGGCTTCTATTCTCTAGTTAGTAGTCATTTGAATTACAACACTCTCAATATTTTTTTGCAGTGCTTGCTCCACATCTTTGTAATTTATCTGAGAAAAATACATGAACTATAATAACTTTGTATATGATTCCCACATTGAAGTCCTGAGGAAAAAATCAATTCAAACTCAAAGAAAATTAAACAGGTGTTCATACAAATATTACAAATATTACTTAATATGCACTTCAATTTAAGATATAAAACAAATACTTGAATTTTTGATTAAAATGAATTCTGTATTTGAAAAATTAGAACATATAAATGTATGATAAATAGAGAAGGATGGTATTAGGCTTCTCAAATGTTTACATTTAAATAATCACATTTAGTAGTTAATAATTTCTACTTTTTATCAGTTTTTCAAAAATTGAAAGTAATGAAGTTATCAGGTTAGTAAATGTCTGTTTTTCCACAGTCAGGCTTATTATTCAAAATTATCTAAATATTATACTACAGAACATAAGTAAACATTGCAATGATATTCACTTATCAGTAACATTATTATGAGTAGTTATTACTGGACAAAGTGAACACAATATAAAAATAGGTTAAAAACATTTGTAAGCATTGTTACATAAGAAGATTATTAAAGTCAGAATTCTAAAGCATCTATACATATGTAGCTTTGAATTTCTAACTTTATACTATTTTTTTCATAGAAAGGAAAATTTCAAGTAAATTCTTTATACTTCTGTTAGGAAATAATATCTACTTTGGAGGGAAGGAAAAGTCCTACACTTGAAAACTGTCACTTGACATCGTAAGGAAATTAGAGATGCCTTTTCAAAACCTAAATTTATTGATTATTTGATGCAATAGCCTTTGAGTTCATGAAATTAATTTTGAAATACAAGTCCATCAACTTTTTCTGAAAAGTAGTATTACTTGAAATAAACTTAAAAAGATGTATTTAGACAAACAGTGTAACTGGCAGTAGAATTATACAGATTATTTTAATATATGAAGTTTCTAGTAGTTCTATGGGCTATAAATCATGTGAACACTTTAGTTTTGTATAATAGAGCAGATAAAATTTTAGGCTTTATTCAAAGTCTTCTGTTTTTTCCTAAATAACACAAACTTAAAATTTTACATTTTATTGTAGCCTGCCTCGTTGTCAACATTGCCTTGAAGATATACACATCAATGTGTATTATTTCATTCTAACAAATTTACACATATGTATATATATATATATATTTTGTTTTTAATAAATGCTACTAAGATTTGAAATGGTTTTAAACTTTTCAGGACTTTATTTGATAAATATATATACTTAATTATACAAAATATAAAAGATATAAAATTTATGATCTTCATTCCTGCATAGACTCATACTCTTTTTGCTTTTTTCCTAACATACATTCTATGCACATATCTAGAATCCAGAGATAACAAGGAATTTACTATTATCCAATATCTTTCCTGGCTAAATACTTTTAACTAGGTCATTGTCAGTATCACTTAAAATACTCAAGAGAAATAGTTCCTTAATTGCTTCCTGATTATCAACTTTATAAAGTAATATTTTATAATTTTAAAAGTCATCTTAAATTAAAAATAATGAACAGTAAATCTCAAAATATATTATTACATGTAATGTTGATGCAGTTTTAAAATTATTTTGAGGAAGAAATATGTGTCGATATTTTAAACATATTGAATTAACTGATGAAATGTTCTACCTGTATGAATGAAAACAAAAAAAATTCATTTACTTCAAATCTCAAGTTTCAGTACATTTTCCATCCAGTTCAATGTCTTCCAAGTTGCTGATTTTGCACTGACTTGGTTGATTTTTCATTTGTGTTTGTGTAATAATTAAATAATTAAAAATAAATAATTATTTTTCCATGCAGTAGTATACCAAATGACATAAATTATTGTAAGAAAGCAGATTTTTGTTTATTTAATTGTCCTATAAATTATATTTTACCTCTTAATTTTACAGAACATTAAATAAATTTAGGCTTAAATATATCTAATATTCTAACTCATGAAAATATGGAGAAATGATGTGAAAGTGGTGATTGAAGACATCTGTTAGTAGCACAAATGCATTATGTAAAAGGTTTTTTAAAATTACAGTTATTATTTTGAGAATGGTAAATTGAATGGCTGCTAATGAACAGTTCACAGTCCTAGCTGCACACTGCAGTTAGAAATGGGAGAATGAAAATGATTTCTGCAGCTTGTCTGACATTTCCCCGAAGTTAGAAAAATTTCCTTATGCGGTAAACATGCTTTAAAAAGTCATTTTATTTTTATCTTCATCAAATATATTATTTTATTTCTTAAATCAAAGCAAGGCAATATTTTAATGCTAGAAGAATCTTGAGCCTATTACTTTTTTTATAACACTTGCCCATGAAAAATGTACCTGTTTGTACATGACCCATGTCTAAGAGGCTCAATAGTCCAAAAAGCAAAATTTTAGTAATATTTGAAAGTAAGTAATTAGTGCTTTTAGTTGTACTTAGTGATTTCTAGGTAACAGAGAGTAAGTGGTCTTTCAGGAGAGAATTTAAAGAAAATAGGTTTTTGTAAATACTGTAGGAATTTAAAGAAGTTCTCCAGTAACTGGGGAAAATAATAACGGAGAACTTGGATTAAAATGGAAACTTAGGTAGGTGGAAGAAAAGAGCTGGGAAGAGTATTTTTGATATTTTAGACTGATGAGAGTAAGAAGTATTCTGCAGTCAGTGAATTAAGATCATAAATATAGTCAAAGCTTCAAAGTTGGGTTGTCATGATTAATTTTACAGTAAAAGTAGCAACCCAAGATGTTGAAAAGATAGTAAAGAAGACAGACACATGTGGAATTAAGCAAATCTGGTTAATTTTCTCATTTAATTGCTAACTTTGTATAGATTTTACATGACTTGTTATCACAAAGAATTTTTCGTAGTTAGTGAATGATGGAATCTAATTATATCTAGCTATTGTTACTTTCCCAGTCCGATTATCCACTTGATTAATAACATCTTCCTTATCATGGGGAATAAAACTATAGAATACCGTTTGCTTTAGTGTTAATGGAAAACTACAGCAATCCAAATTTATCTTTTCTCATATAACAGAGCAGTATCAATGTGCTTATCTAATGGAACGGTCACAGACATCAAAATCATACTTATACTATTCAATATTTTTAACTAAATTGTAATATAGAAATCTCTAAAATTTGCTGAAGAATGTATTTGGTTGGCTTTTTAGAGGCAATAGTTTCAGATAAATATTCGTATTTTATGTTTTACATGTTAAATTCTTCAGTCTGAGTTTAAACCTTAGTAAATGTTTTCATCTTTTTATATATACCATTTGTTTTGGTTGGTACTTAGAAATCATTGGTGGTATAAATTATGGTTAAATGTAGATATTTTAAAGCATTTTTTCTTCAGGGATAATAAACTTTAAAATCTTAAGTCGAGAATTTGTTGAAATTTTCCTGACCATTTTCTCCCATTTCTATCTGTAACTGATAGTAAAATCTTTTGTATTGATATAGATCTATTTATATTGACCCTTCATGCTTACCTTGTAAAACATTAAGAAATACTAGTCTAGTTTAATTGAAGTTCTTATTTCACCCAGTATGTCTATAACTATGTAAGTAACTGTATTCTGTAATAACAATTTCTTTTAGCAGGTCAGGTTGTTTCTCCTCAGTCTGCTCCAGCCTGTATTGAAAATAAAAATGATGTCAGCAGAGAAAACAGTACCGTTGACTTTAGCAAGGTAAGCACTCTACTCTTTTCCCATATAAGTAAGCTGCTAAGTTGCTGCTAGAATTTGCTATCTATTTTAAGAGGTGTTGACACAGTTTTTTGCATGCACTATTTTTTGTTTCTTGCTCAAAGCTTGATAATGTTAGCATTAAAACCACATGCAATGTTTTGCTTATTCAGAGAACTGAATATATAAGTTTTATGAACAATCTTCAGGATTCAGCCACTTGGTGCAACGTATTTCTCTCATTAAATAAAAAACTGGACTTCACAGGGAATGTAATAGGAATTTAATCTATTATTTAAAAATTGTGCTTTATTCAAAATCACTTTTCCTCTATTTGTGTAAAAATAAAATAATGTAAAGTTTAATTATCATTATAATTCAGAGAAAAATTTTACTGTAAGGAAATCCTAGAAGGACACAATAAAACTGAGTAGAATTTTGAATTAAAGCTTAGCAAGCACTATGTTGAGAGATATATCTAATTGGGGAGAATTCAAATGCAGTCATTTACTTGAATGTATTTAAAAAAACAATGCATCCATGAAAGTAATGTGATTTTTAAAGCAAATTCCTGAAATTACTTCTGTTCCGTTGTAAATTGTCAAAACTAAGAGTTGAATAGAAAAGTTTTAATATTGGCTCAAAATAAGGAGGGTGAACAGTTCCTTTATCTGAGTGGCTGAAAGAATAATAATTTAGAGTTAATATTTTTGATAAAGGCTTAGTGTTGGCAATGATTGTTACAGTGGGAGGAGGTGGGAATAGGGGGCAACAGTAGAGGAAGTAGTCTGAATCTAGGTTCTCAAAAGACTTTTCAGTAATGAGTTCCTTGGACCTGTTTCAGAATCCCTGTAACAATGCTAAATGATCTAGGTCTAGTTAATGTGCATGCTCTCCCTCTGGTGCCTGGTGGAGTCTCCGGGGAGCATGGTGTACCAGCTTAAGCCTGTTAATTATGCGTGCAGGGACTGGGAGGCCAACAAAAGGGGCATACTAGTCCATGTGGGATGAAACAAAGGCATGAAAAAGGACTTCCACACCAGCAAGAGAGAGAGGTGAGGGCATCCTCGGCCTATATTTCTACAGTGGTTCAAAGTTCATTTCACTGTATGGAGGCATGTACTTCCAATATTAAACCAGTCAAATGTATTCCATTTGCCACTCTAAAAAGTTATCTTTTTAAAGCATTGCATCTTCATTCATCTGCAAGTTGGAATAAAATTGTCACAAACTGCCATACATTTAATTTCTGATATCCTTAATTTGAAATATTATCTTAAAAGCAGTGGCATAAAAGTTGATTATTTATTTAAGCAAGCATTAACAGTATAACAAGGGCACATCTAACATTCTCAAAAGTAGTGATTATAAATCTCATAGCTCATGCTTTAACATAAATTACCTTTTAGCTGTTTAAAATAATATAACCCTTACGTACTGAATTTTGTATCTCTATATCATTTCACTTTTTGTTTGTGTGACCTATCTTTGCAGCCCTGCCAAGTGTGTCATCACATATGAAAGAAAATGAAGATTGTCAGTTGAAGACATTAGTCTCATCTCCAGGTCCCCCAAACAATCAGAACTATGAAGGAGCGAAAAATAAATTTTCTACCCTTTAAGCCGTTTCCACATCTTTGCATTTCCATTCACTGGCCTACCTAATAGAGAAGTTAAATTTCTATTGCTTTCCCCCCAGTGGCAGCCAACTCTATTCCTGTCTCTAGTCCATAGCACGGCATTTTGGAAAGAGCATGAAGTCTTGAATCCTGAGTCTAGCATATGCAAACCATCTAGTCTGGGAGAAGTTCTCCAAGTTTCAGCCTTCTCATTTGTAAAATAAGAGTAATACTACATATTTCTGATTCTCTTGTGAAGATTTAATGAGACAGAGAGAGCGAACCTGGCAGGGAGCTGGGTATATGCCAAAAAGGTGGCTACTATTATTGTCATTAATATTAGTGTTTATGGTACTGTCAAAATAAATACCAGACCAGATTTTAATGTTTTGGACTCTACTGGATTTTTAGTACCTTAAGTACTGTTTGAGGTGAATATGTCTTGTGAATCCTGTAATATTCAAAATAATTTAAGCCTTTAATTTGGGAGTTAGAAAACAAACAAACAGACAAACAAACAAACAAGAAACCATATAACATTTCTGGCTTTGTAACCCAGAAGGACAGAGAAATAGGGTTTGGAAGAAATAGCTATGATTCATCACTATGGAAACAAAATTTTTTGCCAGAGTTGCAAGTTCATGAGTTAAGATTTTTTTAGCCTAATGATTTCACATTAGTAGTGAATATATGAATTTCAGCTATTCTCCAGATTGCTTTGTTCACATAAATATTTTAAGTCTTAATACTTAACCCCAAACCCTTGACACTTAGAATTTTTTTTTAAATTTACTTACTCATTTCATGTGATTGCCTATATGTGTTTCCTACCTTCTATATGTTTTAACTGATCCAATGGATAGGCCTATCAAATTTACTCCTGTAAAGATTCACTTAGAATATAATCTGATTTGCCAGACTTTAACTCTTTAATAATGCATTTAAAGCATGTGTAGACATTATAAATACTTCTTTTTTAAAACTTTCCAAAGATAACTATTTTATGTCAGTGCTGTTCTTTTTTATTTCAAATGACCCTAAGAAGGTTTTACATAATTTCCTCCACAGAAAGAACTTTCTTCTACATTTAAGTTTAGTATGTAAATCATCTGATAAAGAATTAAATCATAGAACTGTAGAAAACTTTAGACATATCCTCATTTACCCAGCAAAAAACAGTCCCAGGGATCTCTATTACTTTTATTGTGCTTCTAAAATGGGTTTAAGACTTAAACATTCTCCCTAAATGTCCACCTGTTTTTCCTTCAACCCTAAGTGTGTGGCTTCCAATTCCACAATGATATGTATAATTTTGTTCCCTAGAGATTATCTGTTTCTCACCCAGTTTATGGATCAAATACCCAGATAAAGGCTCTTTCATGTCTTAGAATTACAAGAGAGCTGGGTAGCCGAGCAACAAGAGTCTAAATCCAGATGCAGAAGAATATAGCTTAAATTGTTCAAAGTCCTGTTCAGAGGAGCTGAAATTTCCAGGATTTCTTGCTGTGTATTTTAAGTATTTGAGTCCACCTGATGTAGTTCAGCCTAAATCTTCAGAGCTGTTTTTGGTAGCTGTAATTGTGGTCCTTAAATATGATTCTTTTGTCATATTAAAAGGTAGGATATTATATAGAACTGTTCTAATAACAATAAAATACATAATAATATAATTATATAACATATAATCTGTTACTCCCAGATATATGTTTACTCCACAAATAATAAAATGTAAAGAATATAAGTAACTATTACATATATAGCTATAATTTATTAATTTTTAATTAAAAGATCAATTTACTAATCCAGAATTAAGTTTTATATATTTGAATGTATTTTTAAAATAACAGATATCAATGATATATTAGGTGTTACCTCATTCTAAATGTTTAAGGGCCATATTTTTATTTTTAAATAAAAATAAACTATTTTAGTGTACTCAGTCCTTCTTGATTTAATTGAGTTTCACCTTAAAGGAATTATTTCTATAGTTATCATCTATCTAAGGGGCAGGTTTTATAATAGGTAAGACTGTGGCATTTTTTGAAGAATTAATGAATTTAAAAGTTTTCTAAATGGAATTTAAACTCGGTAATACAAGTAAAACTCATATTGATTATCAATTATAGTTTCTTTAAAAGTTATCTTCTTATTTTAAATTTCATGTTAGTGCATTAATATTGTACCGTTGTTCTTTCTATTGGTGCAAAATTTAATTGTGTACTCTAAGTCTTTCAGAGCCTACATGAGTAAACAGTTAAAAAGACTCATGCAAGTTAGTTTTGTTATAGGACTAATACTGTATGGAAAAACTTTTATTTCCTTTTTGTAATTTTAGCAATACAGTGAAAATGTAAAACATAAATAATTTAAAGCATTTTCAATGTGTATATTTCTATTAGAAAAATAAATATAAAAATTCCAAAATAATTTCCATAAAACTAACCTTACATATAAAGTAAATAAATTTATTATTTATAAATTTAAAAAATAGATCCTATAAAATACATCCACAAAATATTCCAGTATGCTTGGTTTATGAGTTTATATATGAGAGTATATTTGTGATGTAAAAATCTTTGGAGTTTATATTTAAGTATTTCTTTTTATAAGCAGTTTGCTTTGCTACATTTTTTTTCTTTATAATAAAATACTCATTATATTTGATTTTTTTAATGAAGTAATTCAGACTCTTTTAAAATTTAATTCTTGTAATAACCTGTACATTTCACATTCCAGAGTTTATGTTTTTGGTGGTCATAGCCTCAGAACAGCTAATTCTTTATTAACATTTCAAATGGTCGAATTAACATCTCAGTTCCAGAAAACAACATATTTAATGTAGTCACTATGGCTCGGCTCTTTTCTAAAGTAAGCTTAAAAGTTTTAATTGTTTTTCACTTTCAACCTCTTGGAAAAATGTATTCAAATTATTAAACCTGAAAAAGAATTACATGGTCTAAAAATATCTTCTGAGCATCACCTATATTTGCCCGAGCTCTTTTCTCTTTCTCCCAAGTATTCCTTGGATCTTTGACCCCCATTTCGTTAACAGGAGAGCATAAAACCAATTACTAGAGCAGATAAAGTCCTATTCCTCTAAAAATGGAGTTCCGTAAAAAGCAACTCAAATGAGTAAGAAATAAAAAATAGGCTTTGTAAAAATTTTTCTTTAAAGTCACTGCTTAGTTTTCACTTTAGCCCCATGTATAAAAATTGATACTTACTCTTAGGAGGAATATTTTATATTCATTTTTCAAATGCCACTCTTTGTACTTAGCATTTCTTCTTAATGATCACTTTTGTTTTATGTTCTTTCATTTCAATCAATGACATGCATGTTAGAAATTCAACCATGGATCTTCAGCAACTAAAAATGTTAAGATTTCACTCTTTTTTCTCTATTCCCTTATATCTAAATTCTCTAATGAAAAACTGAACTTGAAGAATTAGAAGACAATATTTAAAATATGAAGAATACAGAACAACTAGAATAATGTGAAGTCTAAAGTCATAATTAATACTGTAAAAAGAAGCATGGTTATATTTCTCTTGAATAGCCATGAATTAAGCTTTAATTAATGGAAATGTATTGTAAAAAATTATGGTAACAGCCTAAAATGCTAAATTTGTTGACAAATGGGTATTAAATTAGAGTTACAGTGTATTTAATTGAGCACATATATTCCACTTTTTAGCACTTCAAGATTGCTGATGCTGGAAAAGCTTCTTTTAACAATAATGAATAGAAAAATTAGAATATTCAGATTATTTATGACAAGTTAAAACAACCCACAAACATTATTATTGAAGAAGAGCAAGAGATACATTTAACCATGTATGTAATTTAAACCAAATGTATCCCTGGGTTATTACACACGCACTGTGGTAGACTATGATTTACCAAATTTTTCTAATTTTGATTTACTTTATTTACTTTGCAACACTTACAGGTTGATCTGCATTTCATGAAGAAGATTCCTCCAGGTGCTGAAGCTTCAAACATCTTAGCTGGAGAACTGGAGTTTCTAGATAGAACTGTAGTTGCTTTTGTTAGGTTATCTCCAGCTGTTTTACTTCAGGGGCTGGCTGAGGTCCCAATCCCAACCAGGTAAAAAGTGTGCAAGTGTCTTTTATGGTTTTTGTAAATAATTTTGTGAGAGTAAATGCGGATTAAATATAATTTCATATTAGAGTTTTGATGAGGAATCAGTGGGTCATCCACAAACATGTTCTTGTTTGTGGAGGAGAAAACAAAATGCTTTAAAAAAACATTCTGTCCTCTTTTCTTCCATTAGATGTGCTCTTTTCTCTAAGTATCCTAGTCTGTACAACTGCACCACTCTTATTTTACACTTTTGGTACAAAAAGTGACTAAGGCTTGTATCAAAGATTACATTCAACTGTGTACATAAGAAAGAGAATCCTCAAGAGTGGTCATAAAAAAAAAAGATTTTCCACGACGTAGCTTATGTTTGAGTAAGCTTTCAAGATGCCTGTGAGTGCCACCATTGAGACGGGCCTGCTTTATTAAATATACCATTAGTTCAATCTTAGGTACAGTCTGCCTTTCTTACACAGGGTCTCAAGAATCACTGGAAGTGTGTTTGAATCTGAATCAACAGTAAAATTTAGCTTCATTGCCTGAACTTGACTTTCACTTAACTAAACATAATAACTAATAGTTTAAGGATAATATAAATGAAGTTATATAGTTTATCATTTATTTCTAGTTTAAAGATATAAAGCTATTCCCAGATGAAATTGTGAAAAAATAAAGAATAAAAAGAATATTGACTTTAACATGTTTGGTTCCTAGCTCTTTATCCATTGACCGTCTTTTCTTTGTTATTTTCACTGTGAAGTGTGATTCCAGGCACAGATAGCCTTTTGCTCTGGTTTCATTCTCACAGCAAAAGATGTCTGGCTAGGTCCCCATTTCCTGCTTAACTAGCACCCTTTGATGCTGTAACTGCTTAAAATGTTGTTGTTGTGATTCCTCTTGCAAAAAATTAAATGTAAAATGATGAAAAGTTCAAGTGCTATGGCAACTGGATTTACAGAACTTGTTTCCTCTGTAGATCCCTGCCCTTAACTCAAAACAAAGCAGATTTACCACTCCATGCTTTGATTATTTATAAGATATTCCAGAAATTTGGAATGGTGCAGCCTGGAAAGGCTTCATTTTGTAAGGGTTTAGCTGACGGAGGTGGAATTCAGTGTTGTAGTACCTGTCTGACTCAGGCTTGTGGGAGAAGCCTAGTTACCATTCAGACAACATCATAGAAGTTGCTGTTAATTCTGTTTGAGGGCTACCGAGATTTACGATACATGCCAATTTCATCAAAAAGGGGGAAATTTGGGCCGAGCATATTGTTTGACTGTGTGAAGGCTGTATTTTTCTATGCACAGTCTATAACCTATTCAGAGTTCTTGAAAATCTGGGGTTCAAATTTAACATGTCACATTTGCTAATTGTACAGATATTACTTTAACAGGTTAAAATTCTTTCAAGTTGTCCCAGATGTTATTTGTGTTTTATCATTTAAGAAGGTGTATGATTAACCTTTAGTAAATGATAACTACTTATGACAATGATGCTTTCTGTATTTCAAAGGACAGAAGAGAAAAATTACCAGGAGTAGAAAAAAGTAAAAATGGAGTTATATACTCTTGCTTTGAAAACTGTCAGGTTTAAGTGACCTCATTTCATACTGACACAGCAAAAATGTGACTTTTCCAGCTGAGGAAAAGTTAGAGGCACTGTGGAAGAATCACGCAAGGAGAAATTCTAAGGACCAGATACTATTTAGTTAGGAAAAGTGAAAAATGGAAGATTAGCTAGGCAAATAGAATAAAGAAAACCACTGGAGTTCCTAATTATCCTTTCTTAGAAGGACAAGGGGGGATAGATACCATAACAACAACACATAATACCAATGTCAGAAAATAATTTTTAGAACTTTATAAGTAGCCTTTGGAATGGAAACCTAAAAAAAATAGCAAGATGCACATAGATTAGGCAATTTCTTAGCAGTATTATAGTTGATAAAATATCTGCCACTCCATTCAAATATTCCTGTTCTTAATACAGAGTAGATATTTCCATATTATAGTAATTGACTGGGATTTTGTTACAACTGACAAAAATTAATAATCTGATCCTTTAAGATTGCATAATATATGTTGCATGTAAAAACATTTACAACTAAATCAAAGCTAGAATTTCATTAACTACTTCACTTTCATTAACTACTTCAAATGACTTATAAAGCCATTACCCTTCACTCTTAATAACATAAATCATTCAACAAATTAGCAGCCTAAGACTGTACTGCAAAATATAGGGCATTCTTTAATTTCCACAGTTTCCCGTAAGCATCGGCCTCTTCTTAGACAAGGGCAATTACAGGTCCTCTTAAGTCAGAGCCTGCATTGATTTGTTTAAAAGCACAGGTTGTAATGATAAACCTGCCAGACCTTCAACCTAATTTAAATGGAATACTATGGCGCAGCTACCATTTTTATTTCTCTAGCACTGGAATTAATAGATGATTAACTTTTTTTCTGCCAAGTTGACCTTTGATTTCTACAACATATTTTTATACTTAATTGAAAATGTACATATTCTTACATTTCTGATCATATATTCTCTTTGTTTATATTATTGTTACTTTTTCCCTTGTAAACTATTTTCTATTTGTATACCATTTATCTTCTTCCTTCCAATCCAAAAAATTTTAGTCAGATTTCTCATTCCAACCTTCCTCTTCTAAGGATAATAGAATTCTTGAAGTTCTCAAAAAACGACAGTCTAGGATGTGCTTGTAACTACATTGGGAAGCACTGAGATAAAAACACATTGCTCAAGATCTTACACATAATAGTCAATCATTTAAAAATGTTTCAAGTTAATATGTACTTTGCAAGCTATGGAAATGTTTCACATACAATTCCTCATTTTAATTGCTTTGAGATAAATGATTCTGCACTATTAAAATTATTTTTATATTTCTACCTTGGAACATTTCTTTTTTTCCTCTTAATTACAGATTTTTGTTCATTCTTCTGGGACCCATGGGAAAGGGTCAGCAGTACCATGAGATTGGCAGATCAATTGCAACCCTAATGACAGATGAGGTATTTATTTAAGTTACTTGGAACATCTTCCCCCATTAAGTATGCTTAACTTTTGGAGGTCCTATTTTTATACAGTTTGCTGTGAATCTGACTTCTCTGTATTGAATCCAATTCTCACTATCTAATTGCCATGAGAGAAATTAGGTCAAAATGACTAGTAAATTAACACACATTAATATAATATTTTGAAACTGTACACTCTAAAGAAAAATCTGTAATAGCATTTGTAAGAGTATTTATAATATCATTTGTAATAGCATTAATGTTCTCATAGTACCATTCTTAATATCATTGCAAATTTCATTTGCAGGCAAGTACTTTTAAGGTCTAAATAAAAAGAGATAGCAAGTTTTTTACCTAATATATATGACACCAAAACGTCATGAGAAATTGGTCAACTGGCTACAATTGCCTAATGCACGTGTAATGTTCTTAACTTGGGAGTCTTCACACAATCAGAGGAGCTGTAGATAGATTTTAAGGACCTTGAGCTCTCCCTAATATAGCACGCTATTTTTTTCATAGAAAGATTTGTGTGTAGATTCTGTTGGACTAGTAAGCTTTCATCAGCTCCTCAAAGAGATGAATGTCTAAAAAGAAGTAAGATCTTAAAAATAAGAACATAAAAATAGTGTAAATTTTCTTTAACTTGTATCCCCTGATACGGTATGGAAATTTGTTCTTATTTTTAAAGAGAGGAGTGGAGGTGAAATATCACTACAAGGAATTAACTCAGAATTGGTAGTAAATGTGCAAATGAAGTTATGCATTATTTAGAATTTCCATTAAATAATTTACTAATATATTTATTATACTACATGGCTACAAATCCTTTAAAATTCTGTGAAAAAAGCCAATTAGGCCAGGTGGGATGGTGCCTGCCTATAATCGAAGTTGTTCAGCAGGCAGAAGCAGGAAAGTTCCAAGTTGGAGGCCCACTGGGCAACTTAAAGAGACTCTCTGAAAGAGGAGAAGAGGTTTAGAGTGTAGTTCAGAGATAGTACTGTTTTCTAGCATACATGTGTGAGGCCCTGGGTTATTTGACATTTGATGTTATAAATTCTTCTATCTTTTTACCTTACATTTTATGTGAATTAACTATTAATGTTTACACACATTTCAAAAGGAACTAATTTACTCAATATATTAGTTTCCTGTGGCTATCATAAAAAATTGTCAGAACTGAATGATTTAAAAAGAGAACAATTTATTTTCTCACATTTTTTTGAGCTCAGGATCTAAAGTCCAGGTGTTAGCAGGGCCATGCCCTCTGAAGACACCAGGGAGGGACATTTTGTGGTCTCTTCCATCTCCTGGTGGCTCCTGGTGCTCCTTGCTTGTGGCAGCAGAACTTGGAGACCTCTGCCTCTGTCGTCACATGGTGATTTCATTTTGAGATCTTTATCTTAATCACATTGGCAAAGACTCTTATTTCTACTGGCAGGACTCTCTATAAGAGAGAACTTTCATACTATCATTGCTTTTATTATTTCCATATTTTGCATTTTACACTATTGTAAAATAAATGATATTTTGATTTATACTCAACAAGTTAAGTATTATCATTTTTCAGGTACAAGACATGAAATGCTAAACACTAAAATTTCTTCTCATCTAAGCCATTAAGGCATTACACTGAGACATCTGTGAGGTATGGGAAATGCCATAATGTGAGAGGAGCATTTTATGTCATGGGAGATGCATGAATATGCAAGGTATCTTTTTTCTTTGCCTCCCTTTCCCCAATGAAGAATCAAAATTTTCTTAATAGGAAAATGTCAGTTTTAAAAATTTTTGACCTGGGGCTGGGGATTTAGCTCAGTGGCGCAGCGCCTGCCTGGCAAGCGCAAGATCATCAGTTTGATTCCCGGTACTGGAAAAAAAACTAAAAACAACAACAACAACAAAAAAAATTTTTTTTTGACCAATTAAGTATACATAAAATATCAGGGAAACATTCATATTTGATAAATTTCAGATTTGGTTTAATTTGCTTTAATTAATGAGATTTACCTAATTTGAGAACAAGTACCAGCCATGTAATGCAGTTTGAAAATGAATTCTTTAAACTTGAAAAGTTTGAGTTTAGGTGTAGGGCAATTTGTAATACTGTGGGGAGTGGGATAGAAAAGAAAAGAAAGCAAATCAGAAAGTAACCCTTAAAGATAAGAGGTTAATTATAAAAACATGTTAATTACAATAAGACATTGATTTATCATGAAAGAATGTTTAAATACATTTTTTTAAGGTGTTAGAGTTTAAATTCAGGGCCTCCTAAATGCAAGTGCGCTACCAACTGAGTTACATGCCTTTTAAATACTTTTTAAAATGACAGTTTTTTTAATTGTTCAAAGTCAAGGTTCTTATCATATGACTTTGAAGTCTTCTGAATAATTATGCTCATTAAAAATAAACTTCACTATGGTTATGTGCAGAAAAAAAGGTGAATTGAATTGCATTATCAAACTGTAAATTCTCTGAGCACAGTAACTGCTTAATATTTATCCTTGTGTCCTGATTTTTTAAGTGCTTAATTTAATATTTGTTAAACTGAGATCTTTGTTTTTTCTCTCTTTACTGCAAACTTTTTGTGGATATCTTTTCCTTTTGCATTTTCAGCCTTAGTATAATATCGGTCAGGGTTCAACACATTTTTCAAATGAATTGGTAACTGATGTGTGAGTCTCTTACCAATATCATATTTTGAATCAGCTGAATAATTGTTTTTTTCATTTCTATCGAGTTTTACTAGAGATGAATCATGATTGCAGTTATCTGCACGGCTGCCAATGAGTCCATCCTTCACATCCTTAAAAATTAAACACCCTGACAAGATTTGTGTATGTAAATATGTTAATATTTATCATAATACAGCTCAAAATCTAAAAATATGTACTTATGAATTAATTTTAAAGTAATATAGTAAAGCCATCATGTATCAACACAGATAGCATAGTTTGTAAAGACAAAAGTAGAAACAAAACCAAATTTCTTTCTAAGAAAAATAGTGTTTTTCATGTTCCAAGTTCTCAAGATATGTTTTCCTGCTTCCAGCTTTTAAGTCAACATAAACACTTTCTGTTCAAACAGCAAATGTGCCTAATGCCTAGCAGCTACTTAAGAAATATGTATTAAATCAGCATCTATGTTTTCCCCATCCTTAACATAAAATTTCTTACTGCTTACATAGCATCTTCCATTACATCAGTTTGATTAAATCTGAGTATCAAGTTCTTTGCTGAAATAGCTACTCATTGAAGCTATCCTTAATCACTCTTTAAAAAATTGTAACATCCCCTGTTCTTCTTTCCTGCTTTACTGTCTCTACGTTCTGTCCTCTGCCAAAATATACACATTTATATTATTTTTCTTCTTCCCACTAACACTAGAATGTAAGCTCCGTGAGAGCATGCATTTTTATTGCGCTTGTTCATTGCTGTATTCTTAGCACCTAAATAATATTATGCATATTTATTGAATAAATTTTTAGACCTCTTTTTAACAAGGAAAAACAACCATTAAATTAATTACATAATTAACAATTAATTATAATAAAAACATGATTACACTGAAAGCTGTGAAGAAGGACAAAGTGTTAAGAGTATTAACAAACTGTCTCATCTTATTTGAGACAGAATCAGAGAAGGCTTCTGTCAGAAGTCAGATATATGTTGGAATCAGAATATTACATAGCTAGACAAAGACGGGAGAAGAACAATATAAAGTAATTATGTTACTTTAGAGAAATTGGTAATAGGAAAATGGTATCAGTACTATTTATGATTTAAAATCAAATTTTTATGTCTCTATCTTTGAGAAGCTTTAAAACAATAGAAAATCAGCTACTCTTGATAAAACTTAATCCTTCATCTATCTAAAGCAGGGCATAGGATCATGTGATCTTTTGAAGCAATTTTTAATTAAATGCGATCACATCAAAGAGATTTCAAGACAGTTGCTATTATCAGGAAAAGAATAGAGTGGCTAAACTCTCATGGAAAAGGATATTCTGAGCCATAAAATCAGTGGCTTATGACAGGGAAATTTTTATTTTTAACATTTAATAATACTTTATTCAAAATATAACTAAGCAATTACTATATCTTTGATATTTTCATTTTATTCTAATGAAAGACTATATTTATTGCATCAATGGCATTTTGTGTTCTTAGATGGAAAGTCAAGAAAATTCTTCAGAAAATGTTCATCATTTTGTCAGCAGTTTAAATTGATGAACCAAAAACTGAAAGAAATAGTCTAAAAGTCGAATAAAATATTTGAAAGCAAAACTTTCCTGGAAATTTTGGTATATTTTATCATTTTACTCTAGGCCAATATAAAGACTAATAAAGAAATTGCTACCTCAAATATTTCTCTGCTGCATTTTATCTTATGTGGAATACAAAATATATCAGATATACTTACACTGTTTATTGTAAATTAATTTTCCATTTTATTCTTATTCTTCCTTTCTTCATTTATTAATTGAGTATATCATTCCTGTTTATGACAGAAGAGGTTAGGTCATGCTTTAGGAATAACCAACTAAGATCTCAGTGGCTTCAAACAGCAAATGTGTATTTCCATCATGCTAAATGCCCAGCACAAGCTTGCAATGATTTCTGTTCATTAGTCACTTAAAAAGTTTGTTTCACAAAAGCTCAAATTTAGACTTACATTTTTCAGTCACTAAACCGGACAAAAGTAATACAGTAACTGCCATACTGGTGCTCATAACTTCTAGTCTAAGAGAACAAATATACACCTAAATTGAGCTCACCTAGTTCAGCTGTCAAAGAAGGCAAAAAAGAAAGAAAGAAAAAAGAAAATTCAATGCTACAATGCATGTGAAGAAGGCCTGGAATATTTGTGAATAGCCTCAATGATGCTGTGTGTGTGTGTATAGGTATCAAATATACTTTGAACAGAAATATACTTTCTTCACTTTATGCATATATGCACAGAAAATACTAACATAATTGTCAAATATTAATAATATAATTTTCAAAATGAAATAAAGTTAATCTTTTTAAGATGCCAGAGTAGAACCATAAAATTTCTAATATACCCTAAAATTTTTGATCTCCATTTTTTAGCAAGGATTTCCTCCAGAAAGTTTTATTTTAGTCACACATAAATAATCTTTGTATAGCTGAGTGTGGTGGTGATTGCCTGTAATCCTAGTATTTGGGAGGCTGAGGCAAGAGGATTGCTGTGAGCTCAAGGCCAACCTGGGCTGCATGGTGAGTTCAAGCACAGCCTGAACTGCATAGTGAGATCCTGTCTCAAAAACAAACAAACAAACAAACCCCCAAAGCTTTTGCAACTTAAATCACTGTGTTAGTTTAATGGGCCTTCTTTCACTCTTTTTTCCCTTTCCTGTACTTCTCACCTATAGAAACTTCAATTCTCATTCTAACATCCAAAGAAAAATAGATGTCTGTGCAGATTCATATAGTAAGCTATAATATTTTGCATTACAAACTTCTTTAGAGTGAGATCTGACTATGTCTTCAAAATGTTAAATCACATGTAAGATACCTGCAAACTGAATACATCAAAATTTTTAATAATTTTTGAAACTTTAATGATATTTTTTTTCTCCTATAGGTATTTCATGATGTTGCTTACAAAGCTAAAGATCGTAATGACTTGGTATCAGGAATTGATGAATTTCTGGATCAAGTTACTGTCCTTCCTCCTGGAGAATGGGACCCAAGCATTCGAATAGAACCTCCCAAAAATGTTCCTTCCCAGGTATGGATATTTGAAAACATTCTTTAGAATCCCACTATTTTGTAGTCTTTTAAATAACTGCCAGAAAGAATTGAGTGATTTAAATTACACCCGACGAGACAGAAGAAGCATGAATTTACAAAATCTTCCTTGATATTGTGTGACACACCTCCCTCAGAAATTTGGTACTTTGAACTAATCTTTATGTACCTGGAAAGCTTTTAGGCCCAATTTAAAAGGCTCTCATCTCTCGTAAGACCATTACTCTCCCAATTGTCCTTTTTCTCTTTATATCATTCATTCTTTTGTTCTATTTTCTATAATTATTAACATACAGCATACTGTTAATCACAAAAGCTACTCACACCACTACCCCTGTCAGTAAACCAAGCATTTCTTCTGTTTTCCTTTGCAACAAAATATCACAGAAAAGTTGTCTATACTACCGCCTCCAATTTCTCTTCTGCAAGTCTCTCTTAACTCTTCAATAAGGCTGTTGCCCCTCCCACTTCACTGAAAAACATCATATTCACCAACAATCTCCACAGTAGTAATCCCATGGTGACTTTTCTCTCTGTGTTTTACTTAACAATCAGCAGTATTTGATAGAGTTGACACTGCCTTTTCCTTGTCCTACTTTTTAAATTGACAAAATGCCACATTTTTGTGATGGCTCCTACAGCTTCACTGGTTGCTCCTTAATCTCCTTTGCTGAATCCCCTTCTCTGATTTCTTCATACTGAAGTGACTCCAGACTCCAAACCTAATGATTTTCTCTTCTCTGTCCATATGCAGTTTGTTGATAATATCACCCAATCTCAAATTTTAAAATCTTTTCCTAAATTTATTTTCAATATTGATTGGGAGTTACCTGTCCAACTGCTTATCCTGTGTCTGCATCTGAATGTCCAATAGATATCTGAAACCTAACATGTTGAAAGTTTGAACTGAATTATACATTGTCATTTTTCTGTTCTGTATACATTTTTGCATTTGTGAATTTGCAAAGCAGTACTGTATAATGATTCTGGAAGTATATAAGAGTCTCTGATGTTTTCTTCAAACCTACTGCACTTATTTGGTTAATTTTTAACTACAGCTTTTCAGTGGATCAGGCCAAAAACATGAATTCTTCTTTCTTATGTCTTCTTTTTATTCTTCCATATCTTCCAATTGCCACTGAAACTATTGTGGTTCCACCTGTCACTGTCCTTTTCCCTGCATTACTGAAATTAGCCTCCTAAGTGGTTGTCCCATTGTTTCTACCTTCAGCCCTTACGAATGTATTTCAATAGAGCATGAAGAGTGACCCCCAAATTCAATTATGCCTCACCTTTCCTCAAAACCTGCAAACACTTATCATTTTACTGAGAATGAAAGTCAGATATTTACACTGGCATACTGAATCTACCCAACCCAGCATCCTTCTGTCCCTTTCCATCTGAGAAATTAGCATCTACACTTTTTTTCTCTCAAAACTCTCCCATCAAGAAGGTGTCCTTGCTGTTGTTCTTTAAACCCTATTAGGGTTTTTCGTGCTTAACACTGTCTATGGCTATTCTTTTTTTCTGGATGTCCCTAAGTTATTTTCATGGCTGATCTCATCTCCCTCAACTTTTTCTCAAATGATCTTTTTCCCTGAGTTTGCCCACTCTACCTATAGTTGCCACTTCAACCTTTTCACCACCCACTCCACACCTCAGACCCATCTTACTCCACTCTAAAGTTTTCCACTGCTCTTATGCATTCTAACACACTATTGAATTAATTTATGTATTTAATTGTTGCTAATCTATCTTTCCCATTAGAATATAAGCTCTACTGGCCTGATTTGTCCACTGGTATATTCCAAAGATCTAACACTTTTCTGAAGTATCAAAATACTTGCATTAACAAACATAAAATATTTCCTATATTGTTATTTTATTTTATTTCCTCCACTCTTCTTCCTTCAGTCCCTTTCTTCATTGCCTGCTACCAGACTCAGGGCCTCGAGCATACTGGCGAGCACTCTATTACTAAGGTACCCACTGGCCCTCTTTCCTGGTCATCTTTGCAACTCTAACATATCTAACTCTGAAGGTCAAATAGACAGTAAATGTTAATTGAAAGAATGCACAAATGCACATCACCTCATTTAATTCTCTCACTCACATTATAAGATAGTTACTGTTGTTATCCTCAATAAATGGAAGAGGATCCTAAAGCTTTAGGAGGTTAGATAATTTCCCAGACACCAAGCAGCCAAAGAGTCATATGACTTGGGTTGTTAGTCACTCTGAACATTGTGGAAAGGAAAAAAAAATTGTTATTTAAAATTAACACATAGAATTAAAACAAAAACAACAACAAAATTTCCTGCAGGAGAAGAGGAAGATTCCTGCTGTCCCAAATGGAACAGCAGCTCATGGGGAAGCTGAGCCCCACGGAGGACACAGTGGACCTGAACTCCAGCGAACTGGAAGGTTAGTGGAAATCACTTCCATCAGATTTCAAGGACCAAACAACGTGTCATTCTTGTCTGTCATGAATTGCTATATTGAGATATAATTCATTTTATACTAATGTCTATTCTTTGGGGGTGAATATGCCAATTAATTTGATCTCTCTGAAGTTACTAATGATTGTCATTACTGTTAAACCAGAACAATGGGTACACCATTCTATTTTTTTACCTAGTTTTTCATTTTGCTGAGCATAAAATGCGTTCACAGATTTTTAGAACAAATAAGAAAACTGTCAATTGACTCTTCCAAAAGAGCTCCTTGAAAGCTTCAAGTTCAAGATGGAAATAAAAGTAAATACCAACAACTCAGTATTGTAGGCCTTCTCTCATTAAATGCAAGTAGGATGTATATAACGCTATTTTTTATTTTTACTACTTGATTTGAAAGAGCTATATGATTTATTTTTCTAATCACACATCTTTGAAGAGATGAAAGCTTCAATTTATTTCATAAAATGACTATAGTTTTTTTTTTTTGACAGCTTGTCTCTCTTGAAACAATGTGTGAGCAGAAAATTAGAAACTCTTGGGTGGGTCTCTCTTCAGGGAATTTGTGTGTATAGTTCCTTTATAATTAAAGGCATTTGTAAAGACTTTACAGGATTGGTGCCCCTTCCCTTCAAGGCCATTTTATGTACTGCTTCCTGTGTATCCTCTAAGGTGACTTTCTAGTTCCTGACAATTCTGTGCATTTTAATTTGCCTGCGTTCTTTCCCTTTATGTTTTGTCTCCGAGGAAATGTTCTGTAACACTTATTCAGGACTGATACCTAATTTGAGATGGCTTGAGTTTTTTCTTTTTCCTTCACCTGAAGCTTTGTTACTCATTCTGTTTGCTTTTATATTTTCAAATGCAGTGTTTTAAAAACAATTTTTGATTTTTTTTTCTTTCACTCTCAAGTGTAACATGCCACGTAGCTTAGATTTTTTTCAAGTTCACTTTTCCTTACTGCTTCCTAAATCCTCCCAGGTCACCAATATCCGGTATCTTCGCTTCTCCAGAGTTCTTCCACAGATTCTGTTGCTGACATGACTTGAAGTATCCATTACTCACCTGCTGTCCTGGAGTTGCTGGTGTACATCTGGGCTGCTCTTGCACTGTTCTCTGTAACGAACTCCCACCTCCGGATTTAGATTTTTACTGCTCAAGGCACAATTAGTGTCCAGTTATACAACAACCATGCAGACTAAGTTATGCTCTAATAAGTAGCTAAGTAGAAAGTAGTGGTCTAATAGAAACTGTTATCAATATAGATGTTAATTACTAATTAATAGTTCATAACACCTAAAATTCTTTTGAGGATTATGGGATATATGAATTATAAGAGAATGCATATCCTGGTAAAGTGAATCTGTTTTGAATTGTGACTTTGACAAGGTTACAAATTATTCTATAGATTTTTTCTTTTGGTACCAAGAATCAAACCCACAACCTCACACTTGTGAGGCAGATGTTGTGCCACTGAGCTATATACGTGGACCAACAAGGTTACAAATTATTCTACAACTAAAAAAATTTATTCAAAATTCAAAATATGCATATATTTTGTCAAACACTGGTAGAGGATTCTAAGGTTCTCTGCAAGCTTCTGTGAGTGTCAGATGCCCTTTTCTTCAATTAAAGTTTAAGTGTTCTGATCCCTCTTCTAATCGAAGCGGTCCCTAGGAAGACAGTGATCCTGTACTCATATAATCATAAGACACCAACATGTCATTATTATATTTACATCAGATAAAGGTTTTCAGCTATTTTGGATGTATGAATCTTTCAAGGTGAATAATAACTTACTTCTTAGGAGAACAATCATTTTTGAGATGATTTGTAGTATGTCAAATGAATACTTCTATTTATAAAATAAATAACAGAAATTTAACATTTTTGTATGGACCCAGTGTCTTCAGCATTCTGGCAGAACTTTGGAACATAAGGCTTTTTATTATTCACCTTCATGTAGAAACTCAAATACACTCTTAATTCACTTGTATATCACACCTGTATTCCATGGAGTACAAACTTCATTTGTTAAGTTTGAATATTATTATTAAATGCTCAAAGAATAAAATTACCTGCTTATTAATGTTGTTTCTAACAGATTAAAAACAGTCCCCAGTCCATCATTTCACAGTTTAAAAACTACTCCCATCCTCCTTTAAGTGCTTTAGTGTAGTTTTGGTTACTAGTAGTGTATTGGTAATTTTGGTAATACTAGTAGTATAGTGGTAGTGTTATAAATTAATTATTCCAAGTAAGGCAATTATTTTCTTGTGAATGGTGACTATTAGAATATGCTTAGGCTGCAGTGGATCAAAATTACATTGATTGCCCTTCTAGTTTACTAAAAATAAAAGCAACTCTGGGAGCTATCTGTCTTCTAAGTACTGCTGTTATCCATTTAGAAATCTGCTTGGAGCAAAATGTTGTGTTTCCCCCACCCCCTTTTGGCAGAGATAATAGATAACTGGAACCACGGTTAAACCTTACTTTTTTCTCTCTAGGATGACCTTCACTATTGGCATGCACTAAAGCCAGTTAACACTCCCTCCCTCACTTTGTACTCTGCTAAATGGAATGTTCATAATTAGGAAATATGCCAATGTTTGAGGGTAAGCCTGAGTTTAGATGGAGTAGGTTGATGCAGAAGTGGCACAGAGAAGACAGCAAGCTTTGAATCTAATTATTTAAATTTTGATTGATGAACTGTTCTGAATCTTATTGAAGAGAACCTAGGATTTTTAACTGTTGACACATATTTGATTAGAAATTGAAGTAACATACTGATGCAAAGCCATCCCTGTAGATCACAATAATGCAATGTAGCAGGTTCAAATGGTCTTTCCTCTGCTGAAGGAAAATGTGTACTGTGATCTGAAAACAAAGCAAATAAGCATTTTGATTTATGTGTTTTTATATTTGGATTTCACTATTGTGTTTCCCCCATGTCCTAGGATTTTTGGGGGACTTATTTTAGATATCAAAAGAAAAGCTCCATTCTTCTGGAGTGACTTCAGAGATGCTTTCAGCCTGCAGTGCTTAGCATCTTTTCTATTTCTCTACTGCGCGTGTATGTCTCCTGTCATCACATTTGGAGGACTGCTGGGGGAAGCAACTGAAGGTCGCATAGTATGTATTATACCTTTCTCTGAACCTTGAAACTTAGTCTGTTTTTAAGACATAGTTACATAAATGAGCATTTAATGTTGGATCCTTTATGAGGAGAAATTTGACATATGGTCTGGCAGATATACCTCAAATGAATTTCTTGAATGACTTAGCAGAACTGGTGATCTGGAAATGGAATATCCCAGAACAACTAACTTTGTGTCTTACAGAGAATGTTCTAATTCGATCCTTTGAACTTTGTCCTCCTCCCCTGATCCTAGACTAGTTTAAGTCTTTGAGCCTTACCTTATAAGAAGTCTACTTCCCAGACACTAATCCTGAGCATAAACTTTTTGTAAGCCACAGAAAAGTGATACAGGGAGGTGGAAAAGACACCTCCCATTGCTACCGTTCCTTCCCTGCCCACTGGAAGCCCTTTTCTCCTCTATGTCTTGCCCAGGACTGCTTGGCATTTCATAGTGAAGAAAGCATATCCCTGTATATTTTAAATGTTTTCTTCTCAGCTACAATGGTTACTTGAACAACTGAGGTAACAGAATCATTTGTATCTCTACCCAGAGTGCAATTGAATCTCTCTTTGGAGCATCCATGACTGGGATAGCCTATTCTCTCTTCGGTGGACAGCCTCTTACCATATTAGGCAGTACAGGACCTGTTTTGGTGTTTGAAAAGATACTGTTTAAATTTTGCAAGTAAGTGTTAATAAATTTTTGGTCCATATCCCCTTTCTTTTTCTTTATTTTTATTTTAAAGGAAAAAGAACAAAAAGAAAACAATGAAGAAACTATAAATACGATACAAAATTTCAAAATAAGATGACAGGAAATCAACAATGGTTGTTATATTATTTATTGTTATCTTCAAAGTAGTTGCTCAGATTACCAGATAGAGGAATGCAAGATTTATCAAACAATTAAACATTAACTGTTCCTTTTAATAAACCAATAGAAATTAGTAGTACAATTGTTTTAGCTATCACGTGTGTGTATATGTATATTCTTTCTTTCTTTCTTTTCTTCTTTCCCTTCTTTCCCTCATATCAGTTGTTCTTTCCTATTGAGCAGTTTCTTTCCCTTTCACAGTATCTATTGTACCTTTCAGTTTTATTTACTCTTTTAGGTTCTTACAATAAAGGGACAATCTGATGTTTACACATGTGAGCCTGATTTATGTCATTTATGAGTATAGTCTCTAGTTGCAAGCACTTACCTATAAAAGCCTTGAATTTATCTTTCTTTATAGCTGAGTAATATTCTATTATGTAAAAATACCACATTTTCTTATCCACTCCTCAGTGGTGAGCATTTGGGTTGTTTCAAAAGTTTTGCTATGACAAGTGGTGCTGCTCTAAACATGGGTGAACATGTATCACTGTGGTATGATGTTTTTAATTCTTCTGGGAAAAATCTTGAAGACATAGGGGTAGGCACAGTCTTCATGAACAAAACTCAAATTGCATGGGAAACACTTCAAAGAATCAACAACTGTGATCACATCCTATTAAAAAGCTTTTGTACTTCCAAAGAAGTCCCCAGTAGAGTGAAAGGACAACTCATAGAGTGAGAAAACATTTTAGCTGACTGTCCCTCAGACAAAGGACTTATATCTAGAACATACAAAGAATGAAAAGACCTCGGACCTCCCAAATTCAAACACCCAATCCAAAAATGGGCATCTGAGATGAATACATACCTCTCAGATGAAGAAATACAAATGACAAATAAATATATGAAAAAACGTTCAGCTTCATTAGTCATTCAAGAAATGCAAATTGAAACAGCACTGAGATTCCATCTCACCCCAGTAAGAATGGCTACCATCAAGAAATCAATGAACAACAAATGCTGGAGGGGCTGTGGGGAAAGAACTCTTCTCCACTGTTGGTGGGACTGTAGACTGGTGCAACCACTTGGGAAATCAGTCTGGAGATTCCAAAAATTAAGGATTAGAGGTCCCATTTAGAGGTCCCATTAGAGGTCCCACGCTTTCATTTTCTTTATTCTAATCCCAGCATCACTTTGGGATGCCTATTGGGAGAGGTGGAAGTGGCTGATTTGATTCAATTTGTTGTTGTTTGTTTCTTCATGGGAATGGAGGAAAAGTCAAAGATTTGTGGATATTATCATGTAATATTTATTTAAAAATGAGATTCAGCTCCATGGACTGAGAAACTTCTTGTAGTTTTGTCCCCTTAAATGTTGCATTGAGACAAAGTCTTGAGTTTAGATTCTCATGGAATGTGAGGTTTGTTGACTTTTATACTCTGAATCATGCTCATTTCCACTTATTTAAATTGGATGAAAGCTATTAAATGACTTTCTTCTCATTGTTCTTTCCTCTTCCTCCTCCTAGAGAATATGGGCTGTCATACCTATCTTTAAGAGCTAGTATTGGACTTTGGACAGCAACCCTCTGTATCATTCTTGTGGCTACTGATGCAAGTTCCCTTGTCTGCTATATCACCCGTTTTACTGAAGAAGCTTTTGCTTCCCTTATTTGCATCATCTTCATTTATGAGGCCTTGGAGAAGCTGTTTGAACTCAGTGAATCATATCCAGTCAACATGCATAATGATTTGGAGCTGCTGACACAATACTCGTAAGTACCATTTCCCTGTTGGCTGTGGGGCTTTGCTTTCCACAAACACCTTATTGCTGTAAGAAATACTTAGAACTTACTCAGCAGAGAATGTGTCTCACCTTGCTTCATGACCTACACCCTGGACTTTCAGAGTTGTATAAAATTTTAGGGCATCTAATCAATCACTCATCTGATTCTTGAGTTCTCATTATACCATCCCTGCCAAGAATATCTTTTTAAAGTTCCACTCCCTAAAATTAGTATTACGAGCAAAGCCAATTGTTTTTGCAATATGTATTATTTTGGTTTCCTTTTAGCATCTTCTCAATCTGTTATAAACCAAATAAACTTAGTAATGTAGTAATGAAAACATAAGATTTCAGATTTATAAGATTGAGACTAAATTGTATTTCTTTGTATTTAAAAGTATGAGAAGAGCATAAATAAAAATCACTGAAGTTTAACTTTGCTTTCAGAACTTATATTTAAGATTAGAGGTAAGATTGGGCCTACTTTTACTTCCAGGCTGGATATACCAGCAGTTTGGAATTTCTCTAAGGCTGTTTCTTTTGTTTAAGACTTGTTGGAGGCCGTGTCTAAGTAGTTTATACGGAAAGCCTTGTTATAATAGTTATAATTGCATCAACCACAAGGCTTTCCGTATAAACTACTTAGACATGGCCTCAAACACTTTGACTATTATTAGAAACCGATTGAAATGATACCAAAGTAGTTCAAACTATGATTTTGTTAAGAATGATGTAAAGATACAATTTTGAAACTAATGTGGTTCTTATTACTTTAACTTATTATTGATCTTTAGCAATAGCTTTAAACAGTGCACACTTATTTCTGGATAAGAATAATCTAAGTAGAAATATAAAATAAATTTCCAATAAAAATACTTATAGTATTGTGAATTGAGAGGGAGAAGACGGGAATAAATGTAGAAGTCAGGATACTTAGAAAGGGGCAGATGAGACAGCAATTTGATCAGAATCACAGGCAACATAGATGGCTTTTACTTGAAAAGAAAGTGATATAACTGAATTTGGATATCTTTGTAAGGAAACCCAGTTTTCTCTAGTTTTATTTTCAGATCTACTTCATGGCATGGACAATGCTAGGGAAGTGATGGTGTATAGCATTCTGTCATCAGTGAGCTTTTGGTTTAGAGAGGAATGTAGATAAACAACATGAGATGGGTACTGCATTAAAATGTTGGTACAGAATGTAGTGGTACCATATCAGAAGAGTATCTTAACCAGATTCGGGGTTTGGAGAAGGCCTTCCGGAGTTAATGACATGGGATAAAAATCCATAAGAGTTAGGAAAGTGCCAAGGAATATGGCAGGAGCTAGGTTGATAGAGGAAAAATACAGACTTGAATGTAAGACAAGCATTACAGTTTCAAAATATTTGTTTGAAGTCAGATGGATACTCATAAAACAAGAAATGTAATTCAGGTTTCATTACTTTGATATAATGTCTAGTATATCAATGAATACAAATAAGGTCTACAAAAGAAACAGCAATGTAGGATATATAAAACAGGTAAAAGCAGAACAATTGTGTTGGAAGTAGTGGGAAGACACCAGTTGCCCACCCTTCCAACAGCTCTCTTAAGTGGCAGATCCTTTAGGCTGAGGAATCAGTTTAAAATTTTCTGCTTTAGAAAGGAAAAAGATCAGAGAAGCAAACATTGAGTTCTAAATAATGTGCCCAGCTTAAGGGTAGAATAATGAAAACAAAAACAGGCCTATAGATTTAAAAAATAAGAGAAAGGTATCAGATAAGGAAAAAAACATGGATAATGTAAAGATGTGAAAAGCAAGGAATAAGAATATATGATGGAATCTTTACAGAGGTAAAACAGGAGATCAAGCAGAATAGGGAAAAGGGTTTGAAAAGAGATCACTGTCAATTTTAAGAAAGTGTATGCATTAATTCCTTGGTATTTAAGTTTTTTGAGGCTACAATGAATGGGATTGTTTTACTGATCTCTTTCTCAGTAGGTTCATTAATGGTGAACAAGCATGTTATTGATTTTGTGGCCTGCCTATTTGCTGAATTTATTTATTAGTTCTAAGAGCCTTTTGGTGAAGTTTTTTGGGGTTATTTTATGTAAACGACCATCTGAAAGTAAAAATTGTTTGATTTACTTCTTTCCTAGCCATATCTCTTTTATTTCTTCTCTTGCTTCATTGCTCTGGCTATAGTTTCAAGAGCTGTGTTGAACAGGAGGGGCAAGGGTGGATTCTTTGAGTTATTCCTGATTTTCAAGGGAAGCTCTCAGTTTCTGCCCATTGATATGAGTCTTTTCTTTCTTTTTTTTTTTTTTCAGTTAAATTTGGTTAAGGACTTATCAATCTCAGTTATTCTTTCAAAGAACCAATTCTTTGATTCATTCATCCTAGGCCCAAAATATAAATAAAAAAAGAGCAAAAATAAACAGGATAGGGTAGGAAACAGGGAGATAGACTTTTTGGAGATGGGGAAGGGGATCTGTGAAGAGGTAAGAAGGGAGGGGAGAGAAGGAGGATTAAAATGATCAAAATTCACTGTGCACTAATTTTCCAAAACTAATGCAGTTATTATGCATTGCAAACATATACTAATAAAACAAAAGAATCAGCATTGGTTTGGGAGAAGGGGCAGGATAAAACGCTCATTTAGAAAACAATCAAGGAGGGAGTAGGTGGTAAAAAGAATGGGGAAAATATGCACAGGCAATTTTGGTGTTAGAGTGAAAAATATGCCTGCTGGAAAAGTCAGTTTTCCAGTCACTGAGAAAGGCAGTTTGTGGTAGCAGACTTAGGAAACCTTCTGTATTTCAGTTTTTAAAGTCACATTATTTTCTACATAAGAAATGATTAAATTTATCCACAATTTCTTGTGACACAATTGTAATTATATTTTTCTTGTATTTATTTGGGTGATGTATGTGTACCTCTACTTCTCTATAAAACCAGTACTAGGACTATTAGGCACAACCTTGTATCTATTGTGCCTGCAAAGTGCTTGGCATATATCACAACATGGAAATGTTTGTTCGTGTTTATACATTTCTGAAATTGCTTCTTCTAATTGATACGTATATATGACATAAAGCTTTCCCCTCTAAAAAATCTGATTTTAAGAAAGTGCATTCCCAAAATGTTAGAATCAAACAAGTACAAGTGTAGGCACTCAAGACATGGTTATTCAATAAGTGAAGTAGCCACCTGCCTCATTCTTGATTCTTAATCCAAACACTTGCTGTTCTTGTTTTTCATTCCTGATTTTTAACTAAATTCTTTTTTAACTGACACATAAAATTGCACTTACTTATGGGATACTATGTGATATTTTAATACATGTTTACATAGTATAATGTTCAATCATGGTAAAAAATAGCCATTTCCTCATCATTTTTTTATGGAGAAAACATTCAAAATCTTTTTTCTAGCTTTTTAAAAAAGTATCGTACCTTATCATTATCTATAGTCATCCTATGGTGATAGAACATCAGAACTTCTTGCTCCTATCTAATGGAGCTTTAGTACGTGTCTGTTGACCAGCCCTTCCCGTCCTTGCCGCTCCTTTATTCTCTCCCCCCTCTGGTACCCACCATTCCACTTTCCACTATGCAGTCAGCTGCGCTGGATTCCACATATAAGTGCGATCACGTGGTACTTGTCTTTCTGTGCCTGGCTTGTTTCACTTGACATAATGACCTGTAGCTCCATCCACATTGTCGCAAATGACAGTATTAAATTTTAAATAGACAAGAAATGGTTGATGAGAGTGGAGCCTCAGATCATTTGGTTTTAAATCTCAAGAACTTTCTTCCATGGCCTCTTAAAATTAAAAAAGAAGTAAAATATTACAATGACTGTAACTTTTTTGAAGGTAGGGATTATCATATATTTCTATGTATCTCCACTAGAATTTGTCAGTGTTTTATAGAGAATAGCTTAAAAGTGTTAAAGCATTCAATGAATAAGCAAGGCTATCTGTGATGTGCCGGCTAGGTGGGTATAAAAGTGATGGGAAACCTGCTCTTGTGGAGCTTATCATCTCTTGAAAGAGCTAGAAATTAAATACTACACAAGTGAGTGTGTAACAATAGTTAACACAGTGAGAAATATTTTCAAAGTTATATAGATGCCAAAGAGACGATGTGCCTATCTGAATGTAAATGAAATTTGAATGAGGAAAAGTTTAATAATGTAATGGTAATAAATTCTAATTTATTTTAGATATTTAATATCAATTTTTTAGTATTAATTAGTGATAGTGGTGATTTACAAAGTATGGTGTATATTTTCGAAAAGCTACATTTCTCATGATATTATATAACTGTATAGTCCAATGGCATCCTAAGCAGAGAAGTGTAAGTTCTTAAATCTAAGAGCAGGATTCTAAATATACAAATAGATGTATTTAAAAAGACCTTTTTCTTTTTTATTTAAGTAGTGATCTTAAATGGAGCAAACTAAATGTTTAATAATAGAAAAATGAATGAGTAAACTGTTGTGGTCCTTAAAAATGTTGATCATGAAAGGTAATACAATGACATAAAATGGATTGCATTATAGTGCTATATAAAAAGATTAAAATATGTTGAAAATATATGTAAGAACTACTGAAAGATATTAAGCAAAAAATTCTAGTCACTGTGATGAAAGACTAGGAGAGATTGTTTTCTTTTTATTTGATAAATACTCTGTAGTATGATTTTATTATTTTTTGCAATTCAAAATACTTTTTGAAATAAAAAGGAATAATCTTGAAAACAATTCTGAATTTTATAGATAGATGATTCTTTGATTGTATGCATTATATTAATACCTAATTTGCTCCACAGCACTCTGGAGGCTAATTTAGTCAATAAAGAGGCTTGAAAAAAATGAATCATGAACGGTTACTGTTCAGTGCACACAGGAAGGTGCTATTAATAACTACAAAGGCAAAAGGAAAGCATCTGCAACCCAGGGACTAAAATTAGTAGTAATGTTGAAGGGAGTTCTACCAAATTATGTTTTCCAGAAGACAATCACAGGCTCTACTTGTGTGAGGAAGACTGATCACCTCCATTATCCTTGAACAAAAGCAAAGATTTCTGGATGAGTGCATTTAATTATAATGTTTATCTAATCACTCTGTAGCCATTTATATAAATAAGATAGTTTAGAGCACTTGCTTGCAGTAAAGGGTGGTAAAGGTTATGTTTTGTAAAAATTGTACGTATTTTAAGCTATGTGACCCATCACCACAAGTCAAACTCACTGGCATTTTATACTGATGTTTCTTTAAAATATGGAGGAGAAAAAGGTAAAAAAGTGTACATACTATCCAAATGTTTTCCCTCATGATCCTTGGATTTTCCAGTCCAGGAGCTTGTGAAATTAACAACAGTAATGATAACAATAACTATAATAGTAATACCTAACTCCTTATGAGTATTTACTTACCTCGAGTGCTGCTCCAGTTACTTTTATCTATATTAACTTATTTACTCTCATAATAATCCTGGAAAACTGATTTTCTCCATTTTACAAATAAAGAAACTGAAACTTAATATATTAATATACCTTGTTCATGATCACTCAGCTAAGTGCTTGGATTAGAGCGAATGTAAAGAATTTGGCTAGACGATCTAGTGTGTTAAGCGATACTATGCATTTAAAGAATTTTTTGTGTTAATATTTCCATTTTATTGCCAGAGTTACTAGAAATTATTTTGGGTGAGATTAACAGAAGACCTTGCCCAAATTCATACTCCATCTCCACATATTTCCATTTTTTTCCTTGTCTTTACTTTTTATAGTTTGGGTTGGAATATTTGGGCTAAATTCATCAGCATAAAGGCAGGAGCTTATATTTTCCTCATTGTACACTTATTTATTTCAGAATATCTGCTTTTCATTTTTAAAACACTAAACACCCAGAAGCCCTCTTCCAGCCACCAAGGACTGATACAGTGTTCAAACTTCCCATCTGAACATTAGCTTCTGAGAACAGCCTGCTGAGATTTCAGTATTAGATATGCAGACTCAGGAAGGAATGATGATTTTCTTTCCTATAGATAATGTCTAAAGCAAAAACTTTAGGTTAAAATGTATTTTCCCAGTTTGATGAGGCTGTAAGAAATAACACACTGGGAAGGAGTTGTTGTCAAGATACAAGGGTAGGGCTGCAGAGTGTTTGGGGAGAATATCTTAAAGGAGTCCTGCTAAAGGAGGTTGGGAGGGACACATAGTGAAATATCGATTATCTCATTTGTTCTGGAGTATTCTCACTTTCCTAGCTATCCTTAGAGATATGGTACCAGTTACATGTAGAAGCAGTAGAGTGTAGCTAAAAGGGTAGGATGTACAGAGTCTAACAGACTTAGATTCAAATCTAATTCTCTTAGTGTGTCATTGATAAGTATTAAAATGGCTTCTCCCATCTATAAAATGTAGAAATTAAATTATTAAGGTAGAAAATATACCGTGCTCCCTCCAATGCATATAGTAGCTTAATGCATATCATAGCTATATGTATAGCTATCCATACATATTCCATAGGGAACATATAAATATGCATATATATACATACACATTTATACATGAATGTAATGATATTTCTACTACAGAGATATTTTTATCCCTTGTTATGTTACTTTTCCAAGGAACCTGCCATATTTTCTGTTTTTTGCATTTTAGTTATTGGTATCTTTGTGTGATTGGTTCTGGGACCTCATATAGAACCAAAATCTGCAGATGCTGAAGACCCTTATAAAATGGCATAAAACCTATGAACATCCTCTCATAGCCTTTAAATCATTTCTACATCACTTGTACATGATAAACTATACATGTTATAGAAATAGTTTTTATATTCTTAAGGGAATAATGACAAGGAATATTTTCAATCTCTAGTAGATTGAATCTGCAAATACAGAAGCTGCTGCTATGGAGTGCCAGTTGTAACAATGGTGGTGAACCTACGGCATTCATGCTGTTTGTATCACTGAAAACTCTAAAAGATTTGCCATCACTGATATATATATATATATATATATCTGAAGCAAAATGAAAAAAAGTATTAGCATATTAGAGAAAGCCCTAGCATTCCTGTTGTACTATGTCAAGGTGAAAGTTGACAGATTTATTATATTTTGTGAAAAACTAAAAAATAAACCAGAAAATGGTTGTGATGATGATCATGATGATAGCAGCCACAATTCCAAAGGTGCCTAAATGTACACTAGGTACTTAATATATATATCATGTTACTTACTCTTCACAATAGCTTCACTACATAATCATTCTCATTAAATTAAATAAATTAAATTATTAAGGTAGATATAAGGAACTAAGATTTAGAACAGCTAAGCAATTTATTCATGGCTGTATAGCCAGTAAATGTAGAGCTGTCTGACACAAAAGTCTGTATTCTATGTGTGCAATCAATATGGGTTGCACTAAGCCTACACTAAGCAGCCTGCACTGCATCTCTGCCATCTTCATTGTCCTTTAATTGGGGTTTCTCCCTCTGCTTACTGTGTAGGTCAAAGTAGCTTCCTCTAATAGTTACATATTTCATGCCTTTAAAATCCTTATCACTGATTTTCTCACTAGAACCCTCTATCCTCATATAGGCCCAGGTCCAAGTAAGGCCAGCTGGGGAATCCTCTATGTGGAAGATTAGCCCAAACCCCAATCACCATGTACAAATTGTTTCTATAAGAAAATGCTTTCTGAAGGGCAACAGAGCAGGTTTATGAATGAATTTTTGGAAAACAGACTAAATTGAGAATAATGTCTAACACCATTATTTGGTTGATTATATTTGCTTATATCCCTTTCTCAATGACTTCTAATGTTATAAATAACACTTGACCTGAAATTGTGTTTCTATTACATAAAAATACCACTGTTCCCAAATTTTTCTTCTTCTAGCTGCTTCCATCCCAAGCCAGCATTTATTGTGGCAATTATATATAATAGGTATTCAAAACAATTGTATATTGAATGTTTGATTTTAGATAGAATTATTACTCATCACAAAGAAGAGTATATCGTGTGATATCTAAGATTCTCACTTCAATTATCTCTAATTTTGAATTATATAACAAAGTTATAAATGATCTTTAAAGCATTAATTAAACATCTGCAATTTTAATTGATATGGTTGTATAATAGTAATTAAAGCAGGTAAACATTATAACAATAGATTTCGGTGCTATATTGGTCAGCTTTCCTACCACTGGGACAAAATACCTGATGCACTCCACTTAAAAGGGAAGAGGTTTATTTGCCTCATAGTTTCAATGGTTGACTGGCTCGAAAGCAGGAGTAACATGACAGCAGGGCATGGCCAAGGAAAGCATCTCATCCTTATAGCAGCTAGGAAGGAAAGAGAGAGAGGGGAAGCTGGAAACAAGTATACACCCTTCCAGGTCATGTGGCTCTCTGCCTCCAATCAGACCCTACTAGCACAGCTAGAAAATCGTCAGTGGATTAACCCATGATGAGTGTAGAGCTTTCATGATTCAATCACCTTTGAAAAGCCCCCTCTGATTACTTGAAATGTAGAGGACATTGTAGATCTCAACCATAGCAGGACTTTATCATTTTTCCACTTGGCTCATAATTTACAGGCAAGTGGCTATTATAAGAACCTCTTGTTCAGATCACCAGACGTAGGCATGCAAGCTAGATAAAACAGTTAAGCATTAACTTTTCCTGTCAACAAACCAATAGAAATCTGCTTTGAGGATAACAATATGTAATATGATAACTATTGTTAATTTCCTATCAATTCTGTATCATTTTTATTGGTTTTTGTTGTTTTTTTTTTGCTTATTTGTTTCAGACTTTTTCTCTTTAAAATAAAAATTTTTAAAAAGAACCTCTTGTTCCAGGAAACACTGTAGAGTGGTCCAGTTTCCAGCAATATGTCTACCCTAATTTGGAATAATCTGTATTAGGTGGCTTAACTACATTTCTGTCACATGGAGGAATGCTTTATTGTGTTTTGGGTACAGTGACCACAAGTTATTTATTTCATAAAAGACTTTATTTTGCTTCTTCAGATGTAACTGTGTGGAGCCACATAATCCCAGCAATGATACGCTGAAGGAATGGAGGGAGTCCAATATTTCCGCCTCGGACATAATTTGGGAAAACCTAACTGTGTCGGTAAGATGTTGAAAAATAAGTCATGGGGCTGGGAATTTAGCTCAGTGGCACAGATCCTGCCTGGCAAGCGGAAGGTTGTGAGTTCAATTACTGGTACCTGAAAAAAACCAACAACAACAACAACAAAAAAAAAAAAAGTAAAAGAAGTCATATATTGATTCATTTACTATAGGAAGTTTGGCTGACATTTTTAGTTATTGCCATGAAGATAAATTTTCTGAATGTGTGATATTATGAAAGATAGCTTAATTTTAATTTCAAGTTTCTTTTCAGGTATCTACATTAGTTAGGTGGGACTTCCATTCATTATCAAATGAAAAAAATTTCTAGTTTACATACCCAAATTTTTCTGAAAACACATACACAGAATGATATGGCTGAGAGGAACTGAAGGTATATTAAATCTGAGTGTGTTGACCTACGTGAAACACTATGGCAGGATTGTCCGCCCTACTTGACACTGGTATCTGCTCCAGCCATTTACAATACGCTGAGGGTAAGGGGTTGTTCTTAGTATTTTATTGTGTACACTAAATATTTTGAACTAAATATTTTGAACAAATAAAAGTCATCTTCATTTAAAAACACTTTATTTAAAACTCTGGCACTTCTTAGCAGAGCTCTCCTGATTCCATTCTGTTTTTATCTTTCATTCAAGAGAAGGGATAATAACATATTTTTTCCCTATAGCTATTAAATTCTGTACCTTTGTTTTATTTTCTGAGGATTTTCTTTTCTATGCAATTTCTTTTTTCTCATGGCTGCATTTCTCCATTCTTTTTTACCTATTATAAAATTTGTGCATTTCTTTTCACATGTTTTATGCATATATGCATCCTTCTGTTCAATGAAATCTTGTACTTTGAAAAACTGAGAGGACTGCTTTTAATAAATATTAAAATATCTGAGTAGCCGTTTTTTATTTTCTACTGTATCCAGTTGCAAATATTACGATTGAAAACTTCTGCTACTTTCTCTACCTGTACAAGCTCACAGTGCTTTATAGGCATGAGCACAAAGCCATAAGAATTCTAATTACTTTGATCAAACACATACTATTTTAGTAAGTGGGCCAGTTAGTGGACCATAGAAATATTTTTGTTATTGTTGCACAGATGTTATAAAACTCTAAGCATGATTCATATAAAAGCATGTGACCTTTTGTCTGTTATCTCAATTTTCTGTTAAATGTGTTCTTTCAAATTCCATTAACTTACTTATCTGTTGTTCAAAACTCTATCTTGTTACACATATTGGTCCTTATTTACACTTTCAGTCAATGGGAAGAAATTGTTCAGTGAGAAGGGAATGAGGGAGAGGTGATGGAGAAAGGGAGGAAGGGAAAAGAAAAAAATGAGAAAGAAGGGTAAAATGGAAACAAAGCTTTTGTAAATAAGGAGAAGAATAGGGGTCAAAGGGAGGAGAAGGGAATGGGAAGAAAAGAGGAACAGAGTTACATCGTGTACCGGTACAAATACCGGTACAAATTCCCTGTGATGCATGTGATCATTATGTATATGTAAATTGTACCAATAAATCTAAAGTTTAAAAATTCTATCTTGACCTATTTTTCTAACCTTCTTCTAACCAGTCATTTTCTCTACAATAAAAAGACTTCGCTTACTCTTGTTTTCTTGTTATTGTTAACATTCATTTCTTCCCTTTTTTTTTCCCTAGAAAAATCACATTACTCAGAGAGCCCTTTAAATTGACCAGTGAAGGAACTGATGAACTAAATGAGAAAGAATGATACAATTGCTCAGAAATTAGACATGAGATTCAGTCCTGGGTCTTTTATCTCTGTTCCCCATTTGTAAATTGCTATGTTTGAAGGGACCCTTGCTTATGTCCCTTATCTTGATGTCCTGTTCACTGGGAAAATCTAAATAATCCTTTCTCTGAGCTAACATGATGATTTACTCTATGTGTTTTATATTCTCTGAAAAATTCAATGCTCAATAATAAAATTCAACCTATATGTTAATAAATCCTGAGTAATAACCTTATAAAAGACACACATACAGCACAATTGATCTGCCTAACCATGAATTAATTTTTGATAACAGAAGTTTTGAGATCAAGCGGAGCATGGTGAAAAACATTTTATAATAAAAGCAAATGTAACACTTGGTGTTTTGGTTTCTTTTATATTTAAGTTCTCTACTAGGTGTTAACATTCTGGCAGAAATTTTCATATTATTTTTCATTACTTAAAAACAGTTTTTGCAATGGATAATTGCTAATCTTGACTAAAAATAGCCTTTATCCCCAAAGGGAATGCTATGTAATAAAAAATTCTTATAATTTTTAAGTCAAGATAGGTTATTAAGGTTTGTCTTATGCCAGTTTTTCCCTACTATCACTATCATAAAAAGTATTTTATTAATAAAGTGCTGTGTTATAATAACCAGTTTTGCAAAAATAATGATATAACATTTAATTTACATATTATTCACTTGCCAGGTTCTGTATTATTTTAGAGTTGTTATGTATCTCATGACCCATAAATTATACCTTGCTAGTTTGGTGAGGGCAAAGAATCAAAAATTTTTCTCTGATTTTTTTTCAAACTGTCATGTACATTAACTAGTAATTGGGTAAGAACTATTTCAGGTCCTGAATTATATGTTTTAGCTTATACATATATAAGGGGCAGGACACTCATGCCAACTTTAATTTCTTACTTCATTGAACTCATTTTTTGCCAACTTATAGAATTGTTGAAACTTAGAATATGTTTAAAGAGTAATTAGTAGAAATCAGTTTGTCAACAAGCATTTTCTGAGTACCCATTGTAAATGAAACCATATGTCTGATTCAGAAGAAGAGAACACGGCTTTGGATTTGGTTTTCACTTCTAAATTTTAGGACTTGTTCTCTGTAAGTGTGTTTTGGAAGTACAATTAATATAAAAAGAAAATAAATGTTGAATTTAGTAGATCATAATATTCTTTTCAAAATTACTATTTCTGTCCCTGAATGCAAGAGCACAATAATACTTCCAGATTAGCTATGAAACAAAATGACTCGGCAAGCCATTGGTATCTATGTTTTTAAAAATTGAGATTAGACACTGCAAAGCCTAAGGAATATTCAGAAGACTTTTAAATCTACAGAAAAGACTACAGATGCTCACAGATCAGTAGATAATGTGTTTATAATGGAACCTTCAGCCCCTCTTTGTACTTTGCCACTGTGCTTACCCACTACTTTGCTTACATTGCTTGGTAAGTGCTCTTTGTCATTTCTGCACGGACACAGAGAAGAGAATGAAAAATACAAAGATTTGTTTTTGCTTCTTTATCTATTTTACAGAATTTTGAGAGAAAGAAAATTGCAGCTATAATTAAAGCTCAGGGCACTTTTCTGTGGTGTTTCAATTAGCCAAGTTATTGTGCTTTGTACTAGCTTAACATGGATAGCTGAAATTTAGGTCGCAAGAGAAGTGTTTGCAGTTAGATCAGAATAGCAGGAAGATTCTTTTGGACAATGTTAAGGTGTCTTAACAATATTTCTTGAGAATCTTAAGCTTAGGGTAGCTGCTCCTGAATATTTTACTATTGTTTGCTAGTTTTCAGATGACAGTATAACTGCTTATGATTTGTTGTAGAATCTATAGAAGGTATTTTTCTGCTGTGCAAAGATCCAAGGCTTGGGGTTTGATTCACAGGATAAACTGTGTTAGTGATCAATCCATGTTTTTCAGTCCATGTTCTTCTATAGGTTTTTTTTCTACCATCACATTCAGGTTCTGTTTCAGGGCCCAAATACCACAAGATCTGATAAGGTCACTGGGACATTTCTGTTTTCCCTATATTTTTTAAATAGAAAAAATTTAGTAATCTAATTTTTAAAATAAAATAAGACATTTCAAAGTGACTTGAAAGGAATTTTTTCCTTTCAAAAATTTAATGTTTAAAAATGAGATTGTTCCTGAAGAAAATTTTTTTGACTTTGCTGCCACCTCATGGCTAAGGCAGTAATTAGAAATGATACTTTAGAGGTTTACAGAAATGCAGTGCCAGGAAAAGATCATGGAGAAGTCATAGTAAACATGAACTTTGTCTTGCTCATATAGTGATTTTTTCTTCCTTTATTATTTAATTTAAGCTCAGGAGACCCATTTCTGACTTATGATTTACTATCGGTAATTATATGCATCATAATTTTCTTGTTGCCCTTCTTATCTTTCTTGGTAGTTTTGGACTAGGTAATTCTTCAAAATAATTTTTTCTTATTAATATGCCATAATTCTCACCATGGAAATTGTGTCCATATCACAGTTCTGTTGCTGTCCAACAACGATGAGGCCCCAAACAAATTGCTTGACCTCTCATATCTGTTTACTCAGATATGAAATATCAACAATAACATCTATCTATTTTATAGGGTTGCCATAAAGGTTAATTAAACAAGGCATGTGTCTGAGGTTAGTAACCATTCACTCTCAAATATATTTTAAATAAATTTGGTATTAGGAGTTCAGGGGACATTACGTTTATTATATACTGATTGGCAAATCAGTTTATGTTCAAATTTTGTATGGTACGTTTTTGATATTGCCAATTGCCTATCTAAACAGAATCTGAAAATCATATATAGTGTCTTTTACGTCCTGGGGGGAGCCATGGGTGAAAACATTCAGGGCCTCGACAGCAATTGATCAAAAGACCTTACTTTTCTCAAAGAAAAGTGTCCAGCTTTTTCTTAATAGCTCCATTTGTCTTACTTCCTGTGGCAGGAGTGCAAATCACTGCATGGAGAGTATGTTGGGCGAGCCTGTGGCCATGAGCACCCCTATGTCCCGGATGTGCTGTTCTGGTCAGTGATATTGTTCTTTTCCACAGTTACAATGTCAGCCACTCTAAAGCAGTTCAAGACCAGCCGATATTTTCCAACCAAGGTACCTAGACTATTTTCCTGATCTAAATATGAACTAACATACAGCATGATACGGAATCCTATGTGCTTTAGGACAAAAGAAAGAGTAACCGATGGAATGAAAGACCCATGACAGCTTTTGTAAATTGAGCAATTTGCCGGATTAGAAGTGGGGGTGTGGGTGGGGTGAAGAAAAAGCATTTTAGGACATAGGTGCCAGGGAGAGCACGAGCCCTACACCCTTTTCTCCTAACCACGTACCCTAAAGATCAGTCGCCGCTCTCTCACTTACATTTTTTGGAAATTCAGAGCACAAGCTACACTTCTGATTGTCACTTTCTTGCCCCGTGAGCAGTGGGAATGCTTCCAACCTGACAGATACCTCAGAGGAGCCACTATTACATACTCTAATTGGGAAAGCCCTTGGAAAACTCATTGGAACACTATTCTATTTTTCGGGTTTTAAAGTGTCAGTCCCTCCCCCTAACCCACCATGTTTGCATCTGCATATTTGGAAAGGAAAGTAAACAGAGAAACAGTTTAGTTCAATATTTAACACTGCAAAGTAACACCTATAATGTTTGACTCCGCCAAAAGAAGAAAAAAGGAACAAGGAAATAAGCCTTTTAGGGTTGAGCTATAGATTTCTGATGAAAATTCCCCTCTAAGAAAATATTGCAAAAACTATTCTTTTCCCAGAAGGCTTCTTTTTGTCACCTCCTCCTTCACTAAGGTAAAAGAGTGCTTTCTATCCCTCAAAACGTAATCTGATTCATAGCAAATCATTATTTATAAGTTTAATGAATAGACTTATACGTTGTGTGAATTTACATGTACATCATAAAGGGACCCTAACAGAAAACAGATTTTGTTGGTGACTATATAATGGTATTTGCTCAAAAATGACTTTAAGATATGAAATAGCTTTTAAAAGCCTTACATAGAGTGAGTATCTTTTAAGTTGAATATTTTTTAATTTGCCCACTCTGCTGTACACACTACCAACTGCCATATTTATATCTTAGATACACTAAATAAAATATTATGCTTCTTCAATCAAAATTTATTAAATTTATCATATTAATATGTTCCTGCATAAAAAAAGAGATATAAAATTCTGCCAAGTTCTGGCCATGCAACCTTATTCTGTGTTCTAAATTTTCACTCACCTAAGTTTATCAAAAACTTAGATTTTAGATAAGTATCAAAATAACCTGACCGTCATTATTGCTGTCTCATAATGTTTCATTCTGGAAAGGTTGAGTGTGTACCCATCTTAATGACAGAAATACATAAATACTGTATATATTCAGGTACTGGCAGAGGAAGTGGTAATATTATAGTATGCATAAAATACAATGTTATGATATTATGTCATAGAGTGTTTATGAAGTGTGACTCTCGATTATGTTCCTGAGTACTCCTTGATATTTATAGCTCCTTCAAGTGACAAGTGTTTTCATTATTTTTAGGTTCGATCCATAGTGAGTGACTTTGCTGTCTTTCTTACAATTCTGTGTATGGTTTTAATTGACTATGCCATCGGGATCCCATCTCCAAAACTACAAGTACCAAGTGTTTTCAAGGTGAATTTGTCATGGTACTACTAGAATTTAACCTTTCTCTCTGTCTCTCTCTCACTTTCTCTGTCTAATCTCCATTTAGATGTTTATACTTTCATGAAAGTATAAATACTATAATTAGCACATCAATAAATAAAGTGACTACAGCACTACCAAAATTTTGGTCTAATATTAAAAAATATAAGAATCATGGAAATATAAATATGAAGGTTGTTTGAAAAAATTTCCTGTTCTCTGTCATAGCTGGAATAGCTACTGTACAGCACTCCTACAAGATACGGAAGTGATTTAAAACAAAAAAAAATGCATTGTCTTGCAGAATTGCATAGTGGATAGGACTTGACAAACAGATAAAAATAGATCTGAAATAGACTTCTCACTAAGCTTTGTCACTAAGGGGACACGTAACCGTAAGCCATTTTCTTACCTTTGCTGAACCTCAGTTTTCTCATGGGTCAATCAGGGCTGGGGACCGCCTCATACAACTGTTTGCTGTCAGAGTGAACTCCTTTGGGACCACCTCAGGCATCAACCATGTTTAGAACTCTTTCTTAGTCTATGACTAACATTTTTTCCCCATTTTCACACAATGGTCTGTGTACAAATCTAAAAGCAGTTACTACATTATACTGAAATAGTCTCTTATTTATGTTTGTGATTCTACTGAAAGAAGATTCTAATTTATTTATCTTTGTATCTCAATTCTAGCTCAGTGGTCAGCATGGTATTTGTAAATATAAATAAATTTACCAGTAGTAAATGGCAAATATTAATACTATATGTTATTTATTATAATAGAAGTAATGATTGAGGGCAAAGTTTTGGAACTAGATTGTCAGAGTTGAAACTCCATATCTGTAGGGCAATTTACTAGATTGATCTATGCCTCACTTTTCTTATTTGTATCATTTTCTGTAGATTGTTGTGAAGAAAATAGGGAGTTGAAATAGTTAAGTCACTGACAGTGGTGCTTGTTACCTTAGACATGCTTCATGGGTATCATTACCTTTACTTTCATCCCAATTCACTTTGTCAATTTATAGTAAAGGCTTTCCTGGGAGTGTCTATCAAACTTAATTTGGTATTCAGTAATCCAGCTGCTAATATGTACATTCTTTTATTTTTTCCAGCCTACCAGAGATGATCGTGGGTGGTTTGTTACACCTTTAGGCCCAAATCCATGGTGGACAGTAATAGCTGCTATTATTCCTGCTTTGCTTTGCACTATTCTAATTTTTATGGACCAACAGATTACAGCTGTCATCATCAACAGGAAAGAACATAAACTCAAGGTATGTTTTTATAGCCACCTTAATGTGAATAATTCTGAATTAACTGCTTCCAAATAATGTTCAATAGACTGCCTATATTCTGCATTCATTTGTACAATGAAATATTAAAATGGTACTTTCAGGCTCATAATTTTTATTGTTCTACAAGATACTTTGTCTTACAATGATATGAAAAGTTGTTTGTAGCATTTGACTATGTTCTAAAGTATGAGACCTTATCTTCAAGGCTTAAAATAAACATTGTCAAAATTCTGATTTAGCATCTTTAGCATAGTTTAGTAAAATAATTAATTTTGACAAAATATGATTTTATCAACTCATGTTACATCTAGGATTCCACTGGGATTCCTTTATTTGACCATGAGTATGTCTATTACATCCTATTCACTGTTAGGCTAAATCACATCTTTAGATATTTCTTATATTCTTTAATTATTACTCTGTTTGCCATGCCTATAACAACAAAACCCAGCCATGTTTTAGATCTTTGGGTTTTATTGAAGATTTCAATAATTATTTTTTACAGAGAGAATAACTAAATGTGTATATATTTATATATTATACATGTTATTTTCCAGTTGTGAATAATCAAAGTTTTTTACTGGTATGTACGTTGTCTGAGATATGAAATATGAATACTATCATTTATACAAAAGGTAAAATAAATTCAATGAAGTCATTGAATGATTAAAAATAGTAAGAATCATACCCTTTAAAAATAGAACATATACAATCTTGTTTTGTTCTGGTATCATGAGGGAATTTCCAGCTATCTTCACATACCCTTTAGAGCCTAGGAAAAAGAATCATCAGAGCAACAGAAATCATGCTTTATAGAATTTTATAAATATATTAGAATGATTAAAAATCTCTCATTAAATCTTTGATTAAATTATAACTATATATTATAACTATAAATTATAACTATATATAGTTAGATATAATAATTATATAGGTCTTACAAAGCACAATTATATGTAATAAATCTTACTAAGAGGGACTTGTGAATTAGTGAGAATGTGTGTTTGTCTTAAAGAGCTTTCTTTATTCTTTGTTAAAAGTAACGGAAGATCCTCAAAACCATGTAAAAAAGGAATTAATTTAATTCACTTGTGTTTTGTCAAATTAAAATGTTTAATTATTAAATATATATTTTTAAAAATAATCTTACAAAGTCTTAAACATTAGACCAGAGATGTGTTCTTCTAGTTCAAAAATCAGGGTAGCATCCAGTCTTCTATGCAAAAGAGACTGAGACCCTAATTTATAAGTTTTGCTCTTTACTGTGGTGTGGATACCATGGCCCATTTCTAACTGTCAATGTGAAATCAACTGGCAAAAATATTTTTAATTTTTAAAATTTCATTATTAACATCTATTAATTGTAATAGCTATAGAAAAAGTCATTTGATAAAATTTAACATTCCTTCATGGTAAAAATTAGCTCTGAACAAATTAGGTATAGCAAGATCATATATCAGGATATTATAGAATGTAAATATGACAAACTGACAGCAAAGTACTGAACAGGGTAAAACTAGAAGCAGTTCTTGTAAGATCAGGAACAAAACAAGTGTGTCTACTCACACTGCTTTATTCAGTATAGTGTTGGCCAGAGTATTTAGTCAAGAGAAAGAAGTAAGAGACATTCAAAAGAAAAGAAGTAAAATATTTTTGTTTGATCTCTTAAGTTTATATGTTAGCTACAAAAATACCACAGAATTATGCCACTCAAAATTGGAAAATTTGAGATATTTATAGAATTATTTCTTAAATAAGGAATTCAGATTTCTGAGCTAATAGCTTTGCTATTTAATCAAGCTTCAAAAATAATCACTTTTATAATATCAAGATACTACCAAAGTAAATATCACCACAACTTTATTATTAATGTTACACAAGTTTAAGCACATTATGTTAAATATCATTACCTTGCTACTTTCTAAGATATAGGAAATATTTTATGCTAGATATTTGTTTATTTTTTTAAACTGACATTTGTATTTTTCTGATTCTAAAGCAAAATATAATTCTAATTTAAATATCAGATAATACAAAATGTTAAAGGACAGAAGTGAAAAACACTAAAATTTCATCACTTATAGATAACACTGTTTGCACTTTCTGTGTACCTAAGTATATTTTACTTTATTTTATTTGTTTATTTACTTTTTGGATGCTGGAAATCAAAACTAGGGCCTTTCACATCCTTTGACCATGCTGTACCACTGAGCTACACCCCAAGCCCTAAGTGTGTATATTCATGCTACGTTTGAATATATATTTATACTACATATCATTGTAATGACTATATATTTCATTGTACAACACATTTTATGGGTCTGGCACACTTCTGCTGTATGATTCTGCTTGTATAACACATTTTAAAATGAACTAGAAGACCAGTACTTCAGGAAGTAAGCCATATAGTCATTGTTGACTTTGCAACATAAGCTTATTTTAGCCTTTGTAATAAGGCAGAAATCTCTCTGATTTTGCTGAGAAAACCTGTGCATCACCTGTCAGTTAAATTGGTGCAGGCAGTATTTTTTCTAAGTATTAATGGAATCATATTAAAACAAGCTGAAAGTAAGTGATGATTTCTGGGGGATGATATCTTTTTGATCATTCTTGTGCCTCAACCTCTCAATTTCTTTTCTTCATAAGGGACACTAGGACCTTGACATTCACATCCATTTCAAAGCTACAAATTAGTATACTAGTTTCCTTTTTATATATAATACACAATAAGTGAAATATAGTGAAGTGTTCTTAAATGGTCCTCTCAAATTCTTGCATTTATAGAATTAAATGCAAAACTGAATCATTTAATATTTGTACCACTGAACAAACCCAAGGGTACATTATTAAACCTTCTTATATTGTACAAATTATGAATTATATAGTCAAATGATTCATATTTTCATAACCTAACATCCAAGATTTAGTGAACGATAGAGCAAATCTGGTTTCATCATCAGCTCTGCTGTATTGCCAAAGGTAGAGGATTCAGTCTGGTTTTGGTCACTCTTGAGTCTGAATTTCAATTTTCTTCCTTAAAAGGATATTTTCAAAGCAAGTTGGTTTCAGTGGAGACATAATTTATCTTTGCTGAGCACCTACTTTTGGCCTATGGCCCTTGTCTCCTGTAAACTTCACTATAATGTGGCCTGTTACTGTTGAATTTCCTGTTAACAGCAAAAACATCAGCTTCTCAGAACAATACTTGCTCAGAAGAACAGCTTGTCCCATTGGCCATTCTCCCCACCTGTGGCTTCCCTGAAATGTTTGCTAAGCCTTCTGGCTTTGGCTTGAACCACATTTTCATGAAAAGATGTTTCTTGAGTATACTTTCAGACCACAAGTTAATTAAGTTTTAGCTTGATTAGTACTAATTAATTTAGTACTAATTTTGTTTTTTCACTTAAAATCCATTTTTACCTTGGTTGGAACATTCCCTGAATTTGTTTGGTGAATCATATTTTGTAGTTTCTGTACAAGGCACCTTGTAGACTCTCCATCATGTACCTAAGTTTACATTGTATGTCTGAGTCACCTCGAGTGTACATTTCACCTCGTATCTCTCAGAGGCATATTTTAGATCTTTTGAGTTTTTCTTCACCTGTGTTATCAGAATAAGTAGTTATTGTGTTTTACATGATGTTTCTTAGTCCAATAAAAATGTGATTACACACACAATAAAACTGTTACAGGGGAAGAGCTAAAACCCAACTCCCCTGCTAAAGACCTCACTATAATCTGAGAGTGAAGGAGCACAAAATTAATGAAACTTCAAACTCATTATAATCCATTATAATGAGTGGATAGTATAACATATTTTAAAATTCATTCAAGAGTAAAATAAACTGCAATTGTAAAAATCTGAGAATGAAAAGTACCATATATGTTATCTACAGATATACATATAAATCATACTGTCTCTAGCATTTGTTTGTTTGTTTCTTCCTTAGAGAAGTGGGATAGACAGGTTAACTGAGTCCCTTTTAAAAGCATTAAATATAACAGCTTTAAAAAAAGCATTCTCTATAAGTGAAAAGAGAGACATTATCTTGCAGAACAGAAAGTTTCTGTTAAGATGCAGCTATGGGCTTTTCTACATGTTTCTATAGACAGTTCAAGCTTCTTTTGACATCAGTTTTAATAAACAGCAATACAATCCTGGATCACTTGAGTAAATGAATGCATTTGCAACATTCGTTTGGCACCGCATTCTCTTGATGATTATGGCATTTGATATGTTCTTTTTTGCCCTCTTTGTCAGCCTGGTTCTTCATGTCAATCTATAGTCTTTTATGTGGTTAACTTGACAGATGCAGGAAATTGCTGCCAAGCTTTGAAATGAATTTTTTCAGCAGTGGCATCTGGGTATCAGATGGTCCTTTTGGCTGGCCTCTTGTCTTGCTGCATGTTGGTTTTAGTGGGGTCTGGTGTAGCATCACCTGTTGCTATGCTCCCTTTTCCTCCCATATGTCCATTTCCCGTGATTCATAGATGATTGTGAGAATAAAAACTCCATTTCTGTCTTTATTTGAGAAAAAAATCCACAGAAATATGTTAGAAGGTGCAGAGTTCTTTCTCTGACAAAAGGATACTTCCCTTTGGCTGGCATGCCTATCAGTTAATAATTTGGTTACAAGGACCAAGTTTTTAAAGGCATTTTAAATGAAAGACGAGAAGAAGGATGCTGATTAATTAGTGAAAGTGCCAAAACTACCTTATTTGCTTTGGTTTGCATTATTGTTGTACAGTGTAATCAGAGGGAAGTTATTTTATGATGTTTGTACATAACAAAGCCTTCTTTCTAAATTTTAGAAGGAAATAATCCTGTCTGAAAGATTATTTTGTCCACTTCTGAAATCCTATTGCATTATATTTAGAAAACACCCAGCAAAAGCTACAGGAAATCACTATCATGAAGAAAACTTTCTTCATATTGCATTATAAATTGCAGGGAACATAGAGCCTGAGAAAGTTCAGCTTATGCTTTAAACACAAGCTCTACCCACAAGCTGTGTCCTCTGTCGTCTTCTCATGTACATTTCATGACTGCAGCCTCTTACAATTTCTGTGCCCGCTCAGCGGTACGAAGCTCCACAGAGGTGTCTGGGGATGTTGGCTTTCCACTCCCTTGGAGCCAGGGGTCGGAGTAATTCTGCCCTTCACTCTTTCAGAACTTTCTCATTACAGAATCCTTAGGACAAAGCACTGCTGTAATTACTTAGGATATTGCCCTTTAAAAGGATCAAATCTGTGCTATGGAACCACATCTTTCACAATGTTTGTAAAAGGGCCAGGGGACCTTGTTATGGCTCTGGCAAATCTTCTTCCTACGGCTTTTTGGTTTTGCATACACAGGATGATTCTCTTCCCATTCCCCAGCTCCTATCAATGGAAATCCTGAGATATTTGCAAAGAAGTTTCCAGTGTCACACTCATTGGAGATGTTGGGTCTTGACATTTTAGTGAAGTGTAGCGTTGCCACAAGCAAACTGACCCAAGGGAAGTGTGACTGACTTGGTGATGACAGGAGGAAAATGTCATTAGCTCCATATTTCCTATGTTCCTCCTGTCATCACTTGTACTTTTAGCAGGAGTAACAGAAGATAAAGGAAGTACAAGTGACTTTAACCATCTTTTTCTTAATAAGAAAACAATTAACGAACACAAAGAAAACACTACCACGACAGGTGGTAATGAATGTCCAAACAATTTATACTTCAGCTTTTGTAATAACTACAAAATGCACACAGTTTGATAAAACTGCCTCTAAAAAGAAGAAAACTATTCTTACTAAAGACCTGGCCATTTATGCCCAGGATCATACCAAGTGTAGCTGCTACATTTATTTTAGAATTATTATTATTCAATTTGTCTGTGTTTCAATGATATGTATTTCTTTTATAAAAAGTCAATCTATAACTTTTTTGATTGTTTATTGTGTTAATGATTGTCTAAAAACTGTGGGCAAGATTGAGAAATTATATGATAATTATATGATAATTCAGAAACATATTGTTTTACTGAAGAGCCTTGAAACAAAATAAGAACTAAAGAAAAATGCATTGTTCAAGCACTAGAATGTAATAATACCTAATATTTGCTGGGTGCTTGTTATATAGCAGATGTTACCCTAAATGATTGGCAAAATTAAGCAATTTAATCTCCACAGCATACCAGTAACATGCCTTCTAGTCTTATCCTCACCATTTTTCAGATTAAAAAAAAGAAGCCAAGGAGGGTGAAGTGATTTGTTCAAGGTAACTGTTGGGCCAGTATTTGATCACAGCAGTCTGTGTCCCGAATCTATACTCTTAGCCACTTTATTATACTGCTTCTTATGAACTGGTATTTTTAAAGTTAAAAATAGGAATTGAAACATAAAATAAGCCAAAGCTTTTGCTGCTTTTGAAATTTTACACCATTAATCCCTACAGGGGATGTTGGGAAAGGGAGGTAGTGTTTCATCCCATCTTTGAGCTCTGTCCCCGAGACGTCACTAATCACCCTATGTAGAGAGCAGACGCGTGTACCCAAATTGCATCAGTTTTCCCTCGCAATTTTCTGCCTGCTCTAAGAAAGCACTTCAGCTTGCCGCATCTGGATGTTAGTGATATTGGGGTAGAAATTACAGACGAAATTAGTGATCCTGGAGTACAATTATAGAGAAGATATACAATGCAAAAATTATCATTTTAAGGAGAAGCTGAATTATTCTAGTGCTGAAAGGGAAATAAATAAGAACAAGATCACCCTATGTACAGATAAAAATGAATATAAATAAGGGTGCTTAGGCTCTATATTAGTTTTTCCTAATAAAAAGTAACCCATTGAGAGAAAAAAGGGCAACTGGAACCTGAGTGTTGAAGTTTATCTCCAGGAGCTCTGCTTCGAAGGGCCTTTTGAGCATTGTCAGGAAGTGGATGCCGTTCACAATTAGGCCATCCTTAGTCCTGCTGCTGACACAGTTCCTTTTCTTTCTTTCGTTTTTTAACAGAAAGGTTGTGGGTACCACCTGGACCTGCTAATGGTGGCTGTCATGCTCGGCGTGTGCTCCATCATGGGCCTGCCGTGGTTTGTGGCTGCCACGGTCCTCTCCATCACCCATGTCAACAGCCTGAAACTGGAATCGGAATGCTCAGCTCCGGGAGAACAGCCCAAATTTCTTGGCATTCGGGAACAAAGGGTTACTGGGCTTATGATTTTTATTCTTATGGGTTCATCGGTCTTTATGACTAGTATTCTGAAGGTAATGAGATCTGCACTTGTGAGTTTGAGAGAGGGCAGACTATATCTACTTAAAATTTTCAATTGCATTTCAGACATAAATTTGCAAGTATAGTATAGCATGTGATGAAAGTGATGGATTTCTTTAGCATGTTTATGTAATTACGCTTAACCTGAGGGGGCAGAGAAATATGTTCTTTTGTTAGAATATACCTAAAAGTTTACACTGGCAAAATAAAATTTGATGTCTAATTTGTTGCAATAGTTTTGAAATGATGATCAAGTTATGGAAATCATTTATTGATTGCAAACCGACATGTGACCTGAAGTCACTTGTGGACTTACACAAAATTAAAGTTTTTATTTTCTTCTTAATGGACAGATACATTAGCAATTAGTGTTCCCTGGTAGAGATATAGACATATTTTATATTTAAATGATCTGTTTCATATGCTCTGTATATATTTTTATATTTTAAATGCTCTGTAAAACTTTTTCACTTACATCATCATTTCATACACTTACTTTTTCATACTTAAAGTACTTGAATCCATTTTGAAGAATACTAAAGAGTGATTATTTTATCATGTAATTTTGGCAGATATTTCCAAGGTGTGTTAATTATATTTTAAATACTTTTAATTGCTTATAATTTGAATTTTTATTTGCATGATTAATAATTTATATAACTATTTATATTTAATCACTGAAACAATTATGCTTTTAGGAATTCATTTGTGTGCCATATAAGTAATTATTAACATAGAATGATGGTGAGATGTTTAAAAAAGACAAGTTCAACAATCCACATGTTTTCAAATATCTGACATAATTCAGGACAGGACCGAATTTTAATACAAGCTTCATTCCTCATCTTTAAACCAAATGTTGTGTTATTGTGAAATAAAAAGTAAATTGTCTTTAAAGTGGCATAGTGATAGTATCTGTCACACTGCCGGGTGTGGTGGCACATACCTGTCGTCCCAGCACTTGGGAGGCTGAGGCAGGAGGGTCTTGTGAGTTTGAGGCCAGCCTGTGCATGTAGTGAATTCAAGGCCAGCCTGAACTACATAGTGAGAACCTGTTCCCCACAAAATTATTGTAGCATAGTAATAGTCAGTATTACTGTTTATTATGTATTATGTGGTTTCAGAAAAACAGGTTTTGACTTAACAAATACTTATAACAACTTTATCATTTTCATATCTTTTTAGATATTAAGACACTAAGGCACAAAGAGCTTAAGTAACTTACCTAAAGTTACAAAGCTAACAAATACTAGAGGTAGAATTTGAACTCATGTATTCTGGTTCTGTACTATACTGCTTCTAAAATAATTTTTCCCCAAGTTTGTTCTTCAGTAAGTGCAAAATAGCATGACCACATACTGGAAAATAATGTGTGCCTTTTCTTTAATTATTCTTTGACAGTTTATTCCTATGCCAGTGCTCTATGGAGTGTTTCTTTACATGGGTGCCTCATCTCTAAAAGGAATTCAGGTAAATTTCTTAGATATAGCATTAGATTTTTATTGCTCCCTAAAAACGTTACCAGGTGATTCGCACCATAAAACAACAAACTTCTATTATCTCAATGTTTCTGGGGGTATGAATTTGGGAACAGATTAGCTGGGTACCACTGGTGTAAGAGGTCTTGCTTAGCTGCCGTGAGGGTCACAGTTATCTGAAGGCTGGGCGATCTAAGATAGCTTATTAGCAAGAGGCACAGTCTCTCTATGGTATTGACATGAGGCTTCAATTTTTTTTGGCCTCAAGGGGTCTCCATGGGATACTTCTATGTGCTTACAACATAGAAACTATGGGGGGAGGTCCTTTTTATTTACTCTCCAGAATTGCAGGTGGCCACCGTCTACTTTTTGTTAGAAATGAGTCATTAAATTCAACATGTGCAAAAGGGAGGGAAATTAGACTTCATTTCTTAAATAGAAGAGTGTCACATAATTTGCAGATGTATTTTCAAACTTCCACATGTGTTTTGAGTCATAGCAGAGGCTATTGGCAAATTCTTCCTGATTATTTCTTTTACAGTGCTACCCTGGGCAATAGTGAATGTTCCCTCAAAATTCATGTCCTCCTGGAATCTCTGAATATGTCCTTAGTTGGAAAGTGGATCTTTGAATTAGAATTAGACATCTAGTTGTACCTTCAAAGACCTCAGTTGAGTAGGCCATAAATCTAATAACTTGGGTCCTTTGAAACAGAGAAGAAACACCCTGAGATGTAAGGAAGAGGGCCATGTGTGGATGGAGAAAAAGATCATAGTTTTGGTCCCCCAAGCCAAGGATGTCGGAAGCACCAGGGCCTGGAGAAGGGAAAGAAGTTTTCTAGGGCATTTTTTGGTCATTAAGAAAGAAGTTGTGGCAATTGATTATTGCAGCCCCAGAAAGCTGATAGAGATTTCTATTTAAATTTGTCTTTGACTAATCTTATTTCATAACTTAGTATTATTTAGCCAAACACTTTAATTTTCTGGAAAGAGACTAAGTTTGAGGATTTTTATTGCATAATTTTTTGTCAACTAAAAGGAGAATCTAAATAACAGCTTTTTCTATGCTCTAGCTAGTCTCATTGCTATTCAAAACATATAGGAGAATAGTCACTTGACTGAAAAAAAGGCAGCACAGTGTCTCTGTTCCTAAGTGAACCACCTACTGGTGTTTGAATTTGGGAGATCAGACAGCGCTGGGTATCAGAACTGAGGCAAAACTTTACACACAGTCATTGTGAGATCACTGACCCCTCAGTGGATAGACACGAGTCTGCTTTGTTCATCTCAACACTGAGTAAAGTTAGTTTGGGAGCATGGGGTGGTTGAGAAGTTTTATGAATTCAAATTTTACTCAAATAAGATTTTACTTACTCCCTTAAAAATTCATGTGTGAAAAGTATATTTTGATAGAATTGGTTTGGTAAGGCCTACAGGGAGAATTACTGTAGAAGTTTTATTTATTTGTTTTACTGAAGGGTTTTTTGTTTTGTTTTTTGCCTTTGGCAAAAGTTCCATGAGTACTAATTTCATCTGTAAGTGAAGAGCATTTATTATTAGGCCCCAGGCTCACATAAATACGGCAGCAGAAGTTTAAGAAACAAAGAAACAATCATTTTGATAAGTTTCAACAGATTTTCCCCAATTCCATTCACATGATTTTATACTCATGTGGTTTAGACTTAAATAAGCATGTCAAACTTTGGAATTGTTTGGAATTTGACTTTTGCAGATGGAAATCGAAGAAAATATTACCAAAAGCCCACAAGTTAAATATAATGAGTTTTAAATAACACAAATGGAGAAGTAAGCACAGGCACATGTTAAACAAACAGGGTCTCACACTGAGAAGCAGATTAGTGAAAATCTGAGAAAACCCTAAGCTCAGAAGTTGAAATTCCTATTGGGAACTGTGGCTAAATGGGTGTGGCAATAGAACAGTAATATTGAGGCATCATAAAAGCCAAATGTAAAACTCAGTATGTATTTGTCATGACTATTATTACTAATTAATGATAATTAAATAGGTAAATGAATATCTATGGCTCAAAGACCATGTTACTTTCATGCCCTGTAAATTGGAGGAATCTATAGATTACCTGACTGTTTGGCAACATTACGAAACTTACTATGTAGGCTTCTCACTGTGAAACATGGCAGAGAAAACAGATCACAATGTTCTCGTGAATGCTGTTTCTGTATTCAGATATATAACCACATCTATATTCATTCCAACACTTTAGGAATCCAAAGTAGAGCAAATGTGCCATTTAAACAATAACAATCGAAGCACCCACACACTGAAGTATGCTTATGCAATAACATAGCTTCCTAAATGGAGAAATGGTAGCTGGGGAAAATTTGTTCTGTAGAAATGGAAATATTCAGTTGTAAGCCAAAGGATTTTATTTTATTTCTTTCCTGTTCCTTCCTCTACCATGCACCAAGTTTTATGACTTCTAATTTAGAGAGATACAGTATTTAGGCAATATAGATAAAAAGACCTAATGATGTGTACATGGATAGCATGGAGAGGGAGGTGAGCTGAGGTGAGCTCATCATTGAGTACTCTGCACACTAGGTTTCAATAAATGTTTGTGGAAGGTATGAATGCGTATGAGGAAGGGACTGTACAGTGCCTGAACTAGTGTACCTGATTCTGGCTAAACAACTGAGGGAAGAAAGGTAATGCCATGTCATAAGCCAGAGAATACAGAAAGAAAGATAGGTATAAGTCACTTGGGGTGTTCTTGGTATATGTACAAGTAGGCTTGGGTAAAACAGAATGTTTTGATCATCTTTTTTATTCTGTACCATTGTCCCTGTGCATATTAATTTAAAAATATTTGATCAAAATTATGTACAGCTTTCCTATAAGTTAAGAAATACTAATAATTTACTATTCCTTTTTTGTAGAGTAACACAGTGTGGAGAAATGGCACAGAATAGAACAATGACTTGAATGACTGTAACCAGTGATTGAATCTACTTAATCACCCCTCACTGGAAACATTGAAAACTGCAAAAATTGGCCTGAGAAAAATTAAACAAAATGAGTCACATGAGATAAAACTAATATACACTACAATTTGTCACTAAGTAAACTGTGATTGAAAATTTAACCTTCCTGTGAAAATTTAATTTATAAAATTTAAATTGAGAATATTTTGGTTCACTTTATTTAAAAAAAAGTCAAAGTCAAAGTTAAAATAGAATTATATGGTTACAAAGCAATTGTACTATCTTTATGGCAAAATTGAAATAACATCAATAAAATATGTTTGAAAACATACAAATGGTTTGAGAGTGCAACACAAGAAATTAATCAAGAAGTTAAACTGAATTAACCAAGTCTCTTTGAAAAACACTTTATTAACTAAAGTTTGTATTGGTTATATAAATCTTTATGGTTAAGGTGTTTTTGCTCATAATTCAGGAGTGGTGGCATAATCCCAGCACTTGGGAGGCTGAGGCAGGAGGATTGCTATGAGTTTGAGGCCAGCCTGGGCTCTATAGTGAGTTCAAGATCAGCCTGAATAACAAAGTGAGACCTTGTCTCAAAAACAAAAAACAAAATGAACAAACAAACAAAAAGACGTTTGTGTTTGTAAAGGCAACATCAAAACCTTTGTTGGGGATTAAAGTGGCATAGTCAAGACATCAGAGTTCAGATAAAGAGTTCAAGGCATTCTGCACAGCAGCTGTGTAGGATACAGAGCTCTGGGAGAGAGTGAGGGAGAGAAGCAAGTGTAGGAGTTACTAGCAAGTATGTGAGGGTGGAAACTGGGGGAAGTTGAACCATTCCAGGAGAGAAGAGGGCAGAGCATGGGATTCCAGGAAGCACAATATTTGTGGGGTAAAAGGAAAGGGTTATGATGTAATGATGAAAAAGAGGATGGTATTTTGCCTCTTAGGGGTCCACTGTCCAGCATTTAGCATAAGTTCTTTCTGAACTACAACCTGCCTCCAAATTCAAGAAAACATAGGAAATTATTAAACTGAAATGTAGCATTTCAGTATGAGTGGTACCTGATTATCAGATCAGTGTAAATCTAAAATTTTAGACCTGATTAAATAAGTACTTGTTTTACTCTTATTGTTGTTTTATTCTTTGGTGTAATTTAGTCTGTTTAATCTTTTAGTTATTTGATAGAATAAAGCTCTTCTGGATGCCTGCAAAACATCAACCAGATTTCATATATCTGAGGCATGTACCACTCCGAAAAGTCCATCTCTTCACAGTAATTCAGATGAGTTGCCTTGGCCTTTTGTGGATAATAAAAGTTTCAAGAGCTGCTATTGTGTTTCCTATGATGGTATGAAACTTCTGCCAACTCTTTTTCTCTACCTCTGATTTTCAAATCTCTTTGGAAATATGTGAACTAAAATTGGAACAACTGAAACATTTTGAGCAGTTATTGGAAATCCTAGTATAAACTTTGTCTTTAAAACTATTTACTAAGGCAGGATTTGAGAACATCATGGATTTCACTGATTTATTTTGTCTGTCATTTTGAACACTTGTAGTAGTTTGTGTTAATTGAAGCTAGATAAAAAATACAAAATTTTAGAATTTAATATTACAGATATACTATCGGAGCTACTTGAAAAGTTATGGGAATTTTAAGAAATAAAATTTAAATGTTTCAGGCAAATTTCAAATACCTTGGAAAAACTACAGTGAGTTTGAGTAACCTTAAGTAATTTTTAAATTAATCAGCATAGAAGAGAATGTTCTCATGGTCATTTACTATAATACAAACTATGTACTTCATGTATTTAAGGAAACAAAATCAAATATATTTTATTTTAATGTAGCTTAACTCCAACAATGAGTAAAATCTTAGCCATTCTTTTGACTATGTGGTTAGAAAGGAAAAGAGATCAGACAATACTTCATATACAAATATTTCAAATGTTACTGCAATGTTAGTCCTAGTCAAGACTAACTCATTTCTTCCAGACATTACATATGTCTCTCATATTTAGATTTTCCACTTGAAACTTATTTTATTGTTCTCTGTAGGTGTTAGCACTGGTATTTGTAAGAAAGTTGATGGACTTCTTATTCACCAAACGGGAGCTCAGCTGGCTGGATGATTTAATGCCTGAAAGTAAGAAAAAGAAACTAGAAGATGCTGAAAAAGAGGTAAGTCAGTCAGAGTAAAGCCACTATGTTGTAGTGAAGGAGGGGTTAAAAACAAAGTGACAGTTTTTTGCAAAATTTTCATCATTAGACAGTGCTTACCAACAACCATGGGTGAACCAACTGACTTGGAGGTTTAATTTTTAAAGTCATAAAGATTTAAACAGAGAGAGAGCGAGAGCCAATATATTACATGAGGGAACCACCTCCCTCCCCATGAAATATGCAAATATTTTATACTTAATTACCCCTTGAGTTGTAAGGCTTATTTTTCTCACTCCTCACTCATGGATGGCAGAAATGCGCTAATACTAAAATACATTCTATCGCCAGGCAATGATTACTTTTTGGTTGAATATATGACAGGAAAAGATGAGATATGTTATCATTGATAGTATTTTTCTAGGAAAAAAAATGAAATCAAAAGATTCTAATGAATAATCAATTTTTTGAAATAGGCAAAATATCTGAGAAAAAATGATTTGCTTTCAAAGTGATTTACGATTGACTCGATATTGCCTGAGAAACTTTGGTATTTTAATTATCTTCAGGGACTACTAACTTATCCTATTCTGTTTTATAGGTTAAAACAATTTATTTTAGATTTTTATGGCATATGTAAAATTCATATGCTAGGGCTGGGAATTTAGCTCAGCGGCACAGCGCCTGCCTGGCAAGTGCAAGGTCGTGAGTTCGATTTCCGGTACTGGAAAAAAAACCCAGAACAACAGCAACAACAACAAAAATAAAATAAAATAAAATAAAATAAAATTCATATGTTAATGTGGATCTATTTTGAAGGCTACTTAATCATAACATTTTTTAAGGTACATTGAAACTATATGCCATAAATGAAAAAAAAATGGCCCATACATTTGGTACAGTGATTAAACTTATAGGTTGTAAAACATAAAAGAATCTTTGTAAATAGAAATAAAATTGAAAATTAATATTTTGTGAGAATTGTGCATTATTTTTTCCATTTTTCTTGCTTCTGCAGATGATCAGTAATGTGTTTCCTTTTTCTATCTACAGAGTAGTTTTTCTAACTGTAGATATTTTCTCTTTCCTCTTGTGAAATTGTAAATGTTATAGGAATCTTAGGTTTTCCTGTGTCATTTTGTGAGGCCAAATTATTCTGCAAAACTAATTAAGTTTCTGCCCAGCATTTTCTACAAATCAGGGTACGTGTTGTATTATTGGTAGTTTCTTTTACTTTTGCACGGGGTCCCACTGCAGACAAAGGATTTCCATACATGAGTTATGATGATGTATCTTATGTCTTTTGAGTATTCAGGTTTTTCTAAAATTCATGCTTTATACAAGGACACTGGGATAGTTTTGCAGCAGAATGTTCCAGATGCAAATCTGAGAAAGGCCTCTCAATGCATTCATGGGATTAGTTTAAAGATCCTTAAAATCTCAAAACGATTAATATGGTGAACCTCAGTACACAAAAAGTGAGAAAACCATTAATACAATAAAGAAATAATCTATGATTGAGCATTAAGATATAGTTATAACTACTTTCAAAGACAGATAACGCATCAAACTGTAGAGAGATAAGGAAGTTTAAAGATGTTTTATCCTAATTTGAAGTAATACTGTAAGAGTAGGATCAGTGAAGAGAGGAAGAGGATGCAAGGAGATGACACTGAAACTTAATCTCTGGTTGATTTCCTATGTGGTTGCCCAGATCTCAGTGTTCTATTTTCCTGAGTTTATGGACTCTCCTGAAAGTTATCATCTTCTTACTGTGGCTTCCGGTACCAAGTCCCAGCTTCTAGGAGATCATGCGTTAAGGGGGAAAATGGACAAGTTCTCCAGAAATGTTGCATTTCTGAATTGCTCAAATTAATTAAGTAACTTTGATCATGATCTGGCAAGATGATAAATAGCAGAAATAGCTCCCTGAGACTTGAATTTAAAGTGAACTCACCTCTCGTCCTTTTGATGATAGTTACAAGCTTGTGCCTTTGTCCTCCAGGGTTTTCCTATCAGTAGCCCATTTCTGGTCTTATGGCACTGAGAAAACATTCATTTGACCTTAAAATTCAATAATGAGTTAAGCAGAATAAATAGCTACACAGGCCAGTCCAAGGTCGCAGAGCTTCTGTTCCAAATTTTCATGTACTTCATGCATATGCATATGCATATGCTTCAGTTTTTAGAAAGAAAGGATTATAATCAGGGTAGAAATGAATATTGGAACCCTGACATTTTGCACATTGCTGTGTAAAGAGAAGACTGAAGAATCAAATTCTGGATGTCCAAATGTGCTCAGAGTACCAACATGTCTTCCTTCCTACTTAAATATTCTCTGGGACATCGTACACATTTGACAAAAAGACTACTGTTAAAAGCAAAAAACTCCAGCAGAAGGTTTGCTCTGGGGATGGGGGGGTAAGGTTACATAAATACTGGAAATTCAATTTTTTGGAAGCGATCATATCTATACTTTTGATTTCCTGAAGGTTCATTCTAACATGTACAGATAAGAGAAAACAAAAAAAGGGCAAGTTCGGCCTTCAGATCTATATAAAACAGGATCATGAAAAACTCCAAGAAAATGCGAAAACAACCTGAAAACAAGTAAAATTAAACAGTGTTGCAGGAATGTGATACTGTTAAGAGTCAGAACTGGTTGTGGATTTGGGCAGTGAGACTTAATCATTGCACAGACAGATGTCATTTATAACTGAATCTTTGGGTGGGGCAAGCATATTCTCCTTCCTTGGTTAGCGGTTTTCCAAAGTGTAGTTCTAGAACTTCTGCTGCCTTAGCCAACATCTAAAACTTGTTAGATGAAAAATCTTGGGCCTCACTCCAGACCTGAAGGGGACAGGGTCAGTGATCTATGTTAATAAGACCTCTAGGTGATTCTGAGTTAAAATAAGCACTTTCCTGCTACCTAGAACCATAAAGTTTGAATTTCCAGAAATAATCACATTTTAAATAAAATGTTACTCTATCAGAATTTCTATTTATAATAATTTATTATGCTTGCTTAGAGACACTGAATTAAAAAGCCAAAAAATATGTTTCCTTCATCTATTTGTCTGTATTCGATATGAATCTCTAACCCCCATTTATCCTTTCAAGCTTTCATCAGTGAAGTTTTACGAATTGGTTTTCCTAAACATTGGAAATGATAAGAACTATTTATAAGTATGACATTTATAGATTTAAATGTATCATATGTAATGTTTGAAGTACCTGTTCTGTTAGTAGTTAGGGAAGTAAATGGCTAGATTATGAAGGGCTTGTTTTCTGCTTGTATAAGTAAAGAAGTTGAACTTGAATTTTGAAGTCCCTTCCATTTTTTAAGATATGTGAATTCCAAAATTGCTGAATATTTCCTCTCTAATACTGTAAGCTTGTTTGTGAATATTGGCTCCCTTCTGTTGCTATTGTGTACTTTGAGATATTTGAGGGCTCCTACCCAAGATACTGGCTTTGCTGAAAAATGGATATATAATAGATGTTGCCTACTTCAATAAAGGTAGTTCGAGGACAATTCATGTTCATAATGTAATTTGACATATATCACACCATTTATCATAAACACAAAAAGTGACTACAGTTTTATTTTCCACTTCAATTCAACACAGGCCTTTAGCTCTAGCCAGGCTCGTTGCTCACTGTTACGCAAACATATATTATTTATTCCTGCCTTTTATGCTTCCCTCTAATATTTACTTCTGCCAAGTATTTCTTCCTTTCTACAATCTCTGTTTCTGTGCTTTTCATGGTGATACTTTATGTCCTTTAAGAGAAGGGCTTATCGTTCTTTTCATTGTTTTATCCCAGTGTCTAACAGATTACTTGTCATGGAGATTGTGCTTAATACAGAATCACTGCATGGATTAATTAATAACTTCTGGATTATTCTTCTCATTCATTATGTACCTACTGCATCATACATGCTCAGTAAATATTTGAGCGACGTTGAGTAGATTCATTTTGAAATTTTAATTTTCCCTGAACTTTAGTGGAATAGCATTCATTGCCATTTATTTTGTAGCTGAAAATGCGCTATCTTAGTTAAAAGATGGCTTTTATACCACAGTATAAATATTTCTTACTCAAATTGATGAAGCCCTCAAATACTCTAGAGTAAACAGATTTTGATCATCACTCCTCTAGTATCTTGCAGCTAGTTGTACCCTGCTGTAGAATTCAACATATCTTTGATGGGCCCTGTATAAAAGAAGTGCTGAATGGAACTCATTTTAAGATACTTCTGTGGTGGATACCTGGGTAGATTTATGCTCTTCTTTCTCTGCTCACATGACTGAGAAAACCCAGGTTGTGACTGTCGTGATGAGTAGTGCCTGTTTTACTGCTCCTCCTGGAAAGTCTCCCTCCCAGTGCTGCCTGGGATACAGCGGCCCTCCGTCCCCGCTCCAGGGCCCACCCAGCTCCCTTCTGGCTCTAAAGGCAGCGGCTGCTCTGCCACCCTTCTCTTCAGATAAGCATGGCTTGGAAATGCTATCTTTAGAGGTGATGAGTTTTTGTTTGGATAGAATTATGACTAGTATAAAGCCCACACATGCTAACAAGCCAGAGTGCAAAATAATTATTGAAAGCAATTTGAGAGAAAAGTGGAAAATCATCTGAAGAAAAAACGAAGTTGTTCCCAAAGCTTTGGTCCAAGTTTTGCTGTTACTTTGAGTAGTGAGGTTTCACCTTCTGCTGCCAGGTAACCTGAGCATTGATGCCACTGTTCTTCTCTTCAGCTTGTGTGTGAGTGTGTGCATGTGCCTTTTTTCTCTTTGTTAAACCTTTCTGACTTCTTGACATTTTATTCTAAACTGGCCATAAAGATACTATATGACAGGCTTAAGTTCTCAGTGGAAAGCCATGGACAGAGTTACATTTTTCTTATAGCTTGGTTTTACTTCATAGCTTTTGGGATTACTGTGTTTTATGTTACTCTGTACACATTAAGGTAATCTCTTGCACACAGAAAATAATCTCTTCTACCTGAAAGGATATATACTTTCTACCCATGGCCTCCAGGCTGTATATACAAGCTTAGATGATGTAGATATCCTATTCTATAAATTCTGCCAATCTCAGTATCAAGGCATGCCTAATTTTAGGCTACAGCTTTGTGCTTAAATAGGCAATTTTAAACTAATAGTAGTATGTATTTACCTTGAATTATGTCTAAGAGTACTGCCAAATGACACCAGAAATAGGCATAAAATGCAGGTAATAAAATACATCTGACAGACCAGAAGAGAATTTTTTTCTTTAAACAGAACGAGAATAGAATTAGTTTCTGAAATACTAAGGAGTATGCTATTAGCCCCACAGAGTATAAAATAATAAGCATCTGTGGGGACTATATAAGAAAAGAAGTAGCAAAGCTCGTTGAGTTTCCTGTACTCTCCATGATTCCACGGCATAGACTTGGCATACAGATTCTGTATGCATCATAGCCAAAGTTCCAAAGGGAGGGAACTGCTTTGGCCAGCAGATTGGGAAAATGCTGCAAGAGTGAAATGAGACCTACCCCATGTTGTATTACATATTCACAGGTTAGCTGAAGAGGCACTAGAAAACACTTTGTCTCTTTAAATATATTGCAAGAAATATCCCATAGAACATTCAGACTACGGAGTATGCGGGTGGATGGCCAAGGTTTGAACACAGGGGGCCCCAGGAACAGCCTCACCTGCCAAGAAGAATAGGAACAGCCAAAGGTCATGTCTCTTTAGCAGCTGGCTTAGAACTAAATGGAATGAATTCAGGATGGCTGGTTTAGGTTAAGCTGGTTCAACTGGCATAGGCCAGCTTATCTCTGCTAAACTACTAAAAGAGGAAAGGAGATGAACCTTCAAGGCCATCCCTATTTTTTCTCATCAGTTCCTATTTGAGAAGAATCACCTAATTTTTCATGTGTATAAATTTAAAATTTTATTTCTGGAGTTAGAGCCAGAATTCCAATATTTTTAAATGACCTAAATAATTCTTTAGGCTTGAGCAGTGTAAGCTGATGCATTGGAAAATAAACACATTAAATAAAAACCATAATCTATAACTTTCTTTTTTGGTACATGGAGCAAGTTTAATGATAACATCATTTGAAAACTAAACCAGGGCATTTCATTATGGGAGCCATAGATTACCTTCTTCTCAAAGATAAAGTTTAAAATGTGATACATGAATATCTAAAGCATTTCCAGCTTTTGGTGGAAGAGTAGAATTCATTGTAAGAAGTCTAAAGCATTAAACAAAAGCCTAAGATGTACCTAAGTAAAGTATTATGTTTCTTCCTCCATCAAGACATAATGTGTTTGGCCCGTACAGAAATATATCTTTTACTGTCCTTTTCTGTGTCTCTAGAATGCTGTAGTTCTCAAAGTGTGGTCCCTGGACCAGCATAATCAACATCACCGGGAAACTTGTTAGAAATGTAGATATCAATACTCTCTCTAGCTCAGCAGAATGAGAACTTCCCCAGCAACCTGTATTTTAGGCAAGCTCTCTAGGTGATTCTTTGTACAAAGTTTGAGAATCACTGCTATGAATATATCCTTCATCTCCTCCTATTAGAGCATTCTGGGAATGTAATTCCAACTTTATAACAACAAAACTGACTATATTACTCATACTTTTGTCCTTGTGAAATTTAGATTAATTTTTAAAAATTCTGCTTGGAAATTAACTATGTTTTACATTGAGTGACATGAAGGAGATTGTTGTTAGCGTTTAAATTACTTTGTGTTATGAGACTCTCATTAATTACTTATGTTCTTGGTAGCTGAGGCTTTATTGAAAGGCCCTGTGCTAGCATTAATAAATGCAAACAAAGTGGAAGGTCCTGAGGTTAATGAGATAATGAAACATTAATCTGTGTTTCTTCTTTTATGTAAAATGGAGATTCATCAGGTTCATTTAATGTACTTTACATTGTCTTTCCAGGAAGAACAAAGTATGCTAGCTATGGAAGATGAGGGCACAGTACAACTCCCAATGGAAGGGCACTATAGGTAAGATACACATTTAAAATATACCCATGTAAGTAATAGAGTGTGTTTGATATATACTACATTCTGTTTAAGACTTTCATACTGAATGGATCTTTGTAAGATTTGTTGGAGTTATGTTACAGTAGGGGAAAAAAAAACCCTGAGACCAGGAATTAGCTTACCAGGGTTCCAGTACTAAATTCTGTTGATAGAAACTATTTGACTATACCCATGTAGCATAAAAGGATGTGGGGCAGGAGCCCTCACAAAAATACTTCAAAGATATAAGATATCTTTATCTTCAAAGTTATTATTTCTTAAGTGAAGGATTCAGTCATATGAGCCATTTAAGAAATACTTATATTTACATATTTGCATTTATATTTTATATTTATATTTAAATATGCTAATCTTCATATTTCATACGCAGACATAGCAAAGGAAAGCAAATTCCTTCAAGTTATAATAAAAACCTTTGCAAGTGTTTAGCCTACAATATATATTCATATTCTCTCTCTCTTCTTCCTCTTTCATTCCCTGTCAGTGTAGTTTAGTTTAGTTTTCTTATTAAATTCTGCCTTAAGCACTGTTGAATACTCAATTTCATGGCCTCAGATAGGGATAATTTACATCTATGCCAGTAAAAAAGCAGGGAAGAATTTCCTCTGAGAGGGAACCTGTCACAGTATTAAAAACAAAGTACAAGAGAATTCTTTGGATCTTCAGAAGCTTCCTCTAAAATGATAGTCCCTAAAATTTTAAAAATATAATTACCTACTACTTAAGGGTGACCCAAACATAGAAGGCACTTTAGTTCTCCCTTTTTTTTCTTCTACAGCTTTAAATCCTGTAGTTGCATCAGTACATTACCAAGTGTATTTTGTGGCAACCTGGTCTCATGTGGTGCTACTTCCAGAAGTACCTTGTAGTTAAATAAGTTTAGAAAATGTTCCATGGTGCATTCCATTTAGAAGTTCTCAACATGCACTGGTATATGCAATAATCTAAGTAGTACCGCAATTTTTTAAAAGTTTACTTGTGTTTAATTCAGCCTTTTAAAACACTTTTGCTTATATGACTCATTATCACATAGTATGAAAAACTTGTGTTCACATGATGCTTTTTTTTTTGGAAATTAGTTGATCTCGTGCTTTGAGTTACTAGGAAATTATTTAGGCAAATTAGAGGAATTAAAGAACATATTTCAAGATTGGACAAGGTAAAAATCTCAAGATTGTTTTCATTTTAAGTGATGAATTTGTTACCGTCTTATGAACAACTACTGATGTGCTCATGTGGTCAGCTTTGGATCCCTGTTGAAGCAGAACACAATTGTTTCAAAATAGAAGTATCTTACAGGGCTGGGGATTTAGCTCAGCGGCAAAGCGCCTGCCTGGCAAGTGCAAGGTCGTGAGTTCGGTTCTCGGTACCGGAGAAAAACCAAAAAAAAAAAAAAAAAAGA